TGCAGTTGCATTATATATTTGAAGGTTGTATTCAGGCTGTCAGACTGACATGAAAAAAAAAGAAAGATAGAAGCTGAAGCCTACCGATCACACAGAACAAGTGAACCACCGCATACCCCGACGATTGAGACAAAAGACAATGATATCAAGGATCAACACTGTTCCTGTAAAGCTGGGTAGGCCTCTATTCATTATCACAATCATTAAAAAGCAGAACAGTAGGGCTTTATTACGTTACATTCAGTAGGAAGTTAGCTAGCGTTAGCTAACTAACGTTACATTAGGAATGATCCACAGCCGACATTTTTCTGGATTTATTTTAGGGTTTGGAAAGAGGATAAATTGTACTTCTCCTATCAACCTCTCTGGGTAGCGACTGTAACTATTACAAGTGCCCCAGGAACAACGTTTGACCAAAAATGCTAGAAAACGACTGTTTTTGCATTTGAGTCAATGGAGCGCATTCATGAAAGTGTCGGACCTCACTTAGAGCGAGTCCTATACTGCGCTGTAATTGGCCAGCTGTGTATGCTGGGAGTGGCTTAGCGAAGGGTCAATTGTAAGAACTTTGAGCTCCTGACCTTTCATCTAGCACCATCATAAGGTCTGAATTTAAATTTGTTCGATACTTGTGTTTAGTGTTAATTAGCAAATGTTAACATGCCAACAAGCTAAACTAAGACGGTAAACATAGTTAACATTACACTTGCTAAATGTTAGCATTTTTGATGTGACAATGCTAGCATGCTGGCACTGGCATTTAGCTTTTTGTGTGTTTTAGCTGCCTAACTTTAATCATATCTTGCCTACAGTCTATTTGCCATTATCACATTCTTTTCCAACCCTAACGATGCCATAATCACTCTGTGTCACTTTGTGTGGAAATTGTAGGAATAACGAATGAAAAATGCTGACATTGAACAGTCAGAAACTTTCATCATTGAACATAATCCAGGGTTTCACAGAATCCTCCAATATCAGCATTCTGTCTAGCAAGTGGATTGCAATTCAGTGCAGAGATCCTCCTGAAAGACAAATGATGAGGTCTCCATGAAGACCCTGGGGGAGGTGCTTGCCTGTGAGTCATATCTGCATGACCCTGCTTGGAAAGACGCAATGTAGGAGCATTACCTTGTGGGCTCATTACCTGGGTCCCCTATCTGTTAGGCGATGGGCAGGGTCAAGGGATACATCTAGTCTGGAACTAAATACATCTCATACAGCATCTCATTTTTATTTTTTTTCTTTATCTTAGCGTGTAATACAGTGAAATATTAACACCTTTTACTGGTACTAACACTGAGCATTATTTTTGCAAGTGACAGCCAGTGAAGATCAACATGTTAATTAAGTAATCAATATTTAACAGCTACTCACTGTAGCCACACTTTAAGCTGTGTTATTGCAGAAAGAGCAGACTAAATAAAATCTGAAATGAGGTTGTGAAACTCCTCCAACACCCCCCCAACAGGAAGCAGGAACATCCACTGCTAAATAGGTTAAGCCGTTGAAATTCATTCAGCATTTTAAGACATAATGAACACTACCTTCATGTTATTAGTTGTTTGGAAATTCAGAATTCTCTACAGTGTGTTTCAACTCTTGTTTTTCTTTTTACATCTTGTGGCTTTTTGACCTATACTCTGTTTGACACGTACTTTATGATGTTCATCTGAAATTGAGTGATTTTTACACAATTACAGCAACCCTGGGCGTGAACTTTTAAGACCTCTCTGTGTTACTCACGTTGAAAAATGAAATTGAAAAGGGAGAGGTCGACTGGCATGTGGTTAGCTCTTCTGCTGCCACCCACTCAGTCCTACATAGCTTATGGGCTTGACCTTTAGCTGTGTGGTGACTTTTTACTAGTCCTGTTTGAGTAGATGCTGAAAATCTACACACAAACTATAAGATCAATTAATACACTTTTTTAAACAAAGAATACTGTATACACCTTTTGCACTTTTGTAAAGAGTTGTGTAACTGACCTTAATACCTTGTTTCTCAGCATTGAGCACAACTTTGAGAAAGTGCCAGATGTACTTCTGTAACCTTTCGTAAACACCTTCGACCCTTTGTGTGGCCAACCACACATGCATCACCCCACTCTGAAGTTCCCCTCAGCTTTATAACACCTTACAGCTCATTGGTTTGATATTGGGTCCACAACTTTACTGTTTTGGTTAAGTCTCAACACTCTCATAGCTTTGTTTTCAGCTGCAGCAGCAGGAATATTTGCGAAAAATCTATAAAAACGGACTGTACACTACTTGCTAGGGCTGAACAATTTGGGGAAAAAAATCTTATTGTGATTGCTCTGCCAGATATTGCTATTACGATTCGTTTTGCAATTTTTGAAATTATGTTTTGCTAAAGTTCAACATTCACTGCCAGTCTATTTTTGACTGAAGCCATGTTAAGCAGCACAGAGCAGATGAACCAGGCAGAAAGTCAGACACAGAACAGTATTTTTCAAAATAAAACACACTTTGCAGACTCACGATCGCACATCAACAATAAACACAGTTAAACCGACAAAAGAAAGAAACAATTTAACTACGTAGCCTACTTAACTATAGTAGAAGCACAAAAATCAAGGACAACTAAACAAATAAGCAAGTGAGCAAAATCAGATGGATTTACCCATGCGGATATGTAACATTAGCCTGCACAGAGAGTTAACAGAACAGGCTCACAGAGAGCTGTTATCCGCAGTTGAAGCTCACAAAATGACAAATTAATAGCACGTTAACAGCACGTTAACAACACGTTAACAACGTAGGGCAGGATAAACGCTCCGCTGCTGAAACGCCGCTGCCTGTGTCGGTTCCGCTGGCATCAAAAGAAACTACATAACCTACATTTTAATCGCAGTCTTCACGATAAGCTAATCGTGTTATTTCAAATTGCAATTTCAAAACAATTAATCCTTCAGCCTTACTGCTTGCCCAACACCAAATGACAGACAGTGAACATAATGGAGCATTAAGCAGTTGAGGAGCCAGATTTTTCCCTCAGGAGTTGGTAGAGACCAAAACAGAGCTAAATGTGAATAATGGACATTACACTAAAGCCCTGGATATACTTGCTTTTAACTACGCATACACAAGATGGTTGCCACATGTATCCTGCGTTCCTTTGGAGTGTGGGTTGTGCACGTCTCCAGAAATTAACGCTACGCGTCCGCGAGATGCAATTCCGCACATGAACGTGGCGACAATATGTTGATCTGACTGGCAGGTCAACAGCAATACTGTTCCAAACACCAGCCTAGGTGGTGGCGGTATGCAGTTGGTTTGCCAACCGTAATTAAAGAAGAAGAAGGTCATCAGCATACTTTAAAAAAGGAGATTTATGGCGGTATGTTTACAGTAAAACTCCAGGAGCTAGTCTGCAATTACCGAGAATGTTATGATGTCTCTTGTTAAAATCACAACCTACTTGAGTGTCGCTATGTGTGGTTTGTTTACGATGTGCAAATTCGGAGGTTGTCAAGAAAGATAATCCGGTGTTGGCGATGGATGATCCGGTCCTGTTCTGCCCCCTAGTGGATTCAGGTTTAATCCTCAAGGTACACGCAAAGAACGCAGGCATGTATGTAAACAATGCCGTTGGCGACGCAAACGCCCATCTATGCCTACGCATTGTTAAAAAGCAGGTATATCCAGGGCTTAATGAGGTTGCAATATTACTCCATATCTTTTAATAAATGTGAGTAACTTTAATAGGTAATAATATGTCATTGTTGTGTTTACAGCTTGTTTCCAATGCCCCCAAGTGGCCAAAAAAAATTCATTGCAGGTCTAGTGTTCTATATGACATGAAAATTTTGAGGAGTCCTTTACGGGTAATCTGCACTGTTACTTTGTTTGGTTATTCCATTTTTCCTAACTAAACCATGTCTTAGATTGAATTTCATCACACTCTTTAATGCAGTTTGCAATTAAAATCTAAATGTGTTCAGATGCATCAAAAGGCCTCTATACTAGAGACACTCTCTGGAGCCGTTGATACATAGAAGTGCCCGCGCCCGTGTGAATTGCTCATTCAAATGAAAGCAGAGTCTTGTCAATTACCTTCCTGCTGTTTCTCTGTATTTAAATTCATCCCTCACTTTCTTTATTGTGCTCTCCCTACAACTGGGATCAGCTCAATAACAGCCAGTAAGAGACACTGAATAATGCCACTGTGAAATTTCCTATTCATTTCGATGGAATGAAAAGTCTCTCTGGCTACCTTTCCTCCCATGTTGTCATTTAGAAAGCAGTGTGAGCAGATGTGAGCAGAAAAGTGTAGAAATAATATTTTTCTGATATTCCAGTTGTGTGTGGTAAATGAAACACACATCACTCTAGATTTATGGACCAGAGATGGCACGTCAACGGCTCACTGGCGATGTGGCGTGCTAGAAGACGGGAGACGGGAGAGGAAGATGCAGAAGACTGAAATGTGCTTAGAGTTAATGGAGTACATACTGCTCGCACAGCAGCAGAAAGTCCTGCCACAAACAAGGAGGACATTTGATTTTGGCTCGGAGGCTTGCTTTTGATTATGTTAAAAGATTGTTTGTACTCCCTAGTTGGCAATTGGTTGGAAACATGCTGATGAGAGAGTGGAGGCCTTTTCATCTGTGTGCTATAACCATTACATGAAATGACTGGTTGTAAATCAAAAGTTGAGGAGCTGGGGGGTGGAGGGAGGAGACTTTCTTCTAACTGACAGCAAAGGAAAAGAAGACATTAGGGTAAGGAAAAATGTGTAGTGTGAACAAGTATTCTGATGTCTTTTTGTTTCTGACGTTGAGTTTATTGTAATGAGTTAATATTGACTCCAACCAAGCTACAAAATAGTTTTTTTAAATTCCATTTATGTTTGATGGCTTTCTTCTCTGGCCGAGTTTTGTTTTTCCTTTTTAATTGTGTTTTCAGATTAATTGCCTGGAAAAACCTGCTTTTAAGACTTCATGCTCAGATGCAATGAGAACTTGTTCTCTTTTGCAGGGAAAATGTCAAATATCCGTGCAGTCAGGAAGAGGCAACAGCTGAATAACTTGGTTGGCATGGTTACGGGGCTAGCCAGGCCAGGATACACCGTTGTGGATTTCTGCAGTGGAACGGTACTTGTATTCATCGGTCCGGCAATTCATATCTGTTTATCACCAAACCTGACCATGGCTACCAGTGTTGGGCACTGTAACATTATTACTTTTCTCAGTAACTAGTAGTGTACGGGATTACTATTTACAAAATAGCAATGATATTACAGTTACTAATCCCAGTAATGCTGCGTTACTGAACGCACCATCCTTGATATGAATGCTCAACTGCGCGGCAGGTCAGCGGCACCAGGCCTTATGTTTTTCAAGTCAGCTGTTAGCCAAAAAGCTAAAGGAAGACTAGAGAAAGAGGGAGATAGGCATTCTTTGGACAGCTGTAAATATTGCCATTATTGTGTCACACACACACACAACTAGTTATCATATTTGTTCATGTTTTTTAGATATACTTTCCTCTTAAAATGCTTTTCTTGTCAGTCTACACAGACAGAAGAAAGTAATTACGCTATGCTAAGGGTGGTAGTGTTGCATTTATAAAGGGTCAATACTTGGTTGGAAAGGTCAGCAATAATCATAATTCGATTGTAGGGCTGGTACGATAAAACAATAACAATAATTATCGCAATATAATTTTTTTCAATAACAATATAACAAATGTTCAATAAATAATCAATAAATGTTTGACTTTATTCACTTGAATCATACACAAATTAGGAATTATTTTCTTTTATTAAGATGTTTATTTTGTGGAGTAAAAGGGACCAAAAAAAGCTTTTACTTAATTTGACTCGTGCATATTTGTTGACAAAGATTTTATCATATTTATGTTCTAACTCAGATTTGTGAAGTGATCCACTGTTTAGCATCTAGTATTGACCATAATTTAGAGTTGAAACCACAATTAACCATCAGGTTTCTTCAACTTCCACAAAAATCAGCCTTTAAACTCAAAAGAAATAACAATTTGATACTTATCGTGATAATTATCGATATCGAAAGATATGAAAATCGTGTTTTTGGCCATATCGTCCAGCCCTACTCTATTGATGCCTCTTTGATGTATTCTGCTTTCTTAATGTGCATCTTCCTTTTTTTTTTTTTGTCTTTGTGCTGTCTCTCAGGGCCATGTAGGGATTGTTTTGGCGCACACACTTCCAGATTGCCAGGTAACGTATGTGTATGGTGTCACTGAACTTGTATAGGTCAGGCAAAATTACCATTTTGGACTGGTAACTTCTGACATTATTTTTATTATATTATTTGTCATTATTTTTGACATTTTACAGACTAAAAGATGAATAGATAATCCAAGAGATCAATTGATGACGATGAAGGCATTATGATTTATCATTAAATGCATCCCTACAATTCTGCTATACTGCAGTCACATGCAGCTATGTGAGTTTTTTCTGTTTTTATTCAAGGTCCTCCTCATAGAGAACAAAGAAGAGTCCTTGGTGAGGGCTCAGAGTCGTAGTGCTGAGCTTGGTCTGAAAAACATCGGCTTCATTCAGGCCAATTTGGACTACTTCACTGGACCCTTTCACATTGGGGTGAGCATAGAAAGTAACACCAAGCAATAAAAAAAAGTGCCTTTGCACCAGTTTTGTCTCCATTTGTTTGATGATCCACAGATTCTGCAGACAGTACATCTCAGGTGACTTAACTATTGAAGATTTTGCTAATTTGTGAGTATGTAAGTATTGCAAGGAAAAAAATGTTTTGTGAATCACTAAAAATAAACCATAGTGGAAAATAAGGGTATTATTTAAATTACGAGTGGTCACAGTATTATCTGTACTGTGCAAAATTTTAAAGCTATTTTAATGTAATTATTATAATATAGCAACCATAGTAGCACTGATTTTACTTCCTCTGTTTCCATTTAAGTTGCATTGTTTGCTGCATTAACAATCCAATTTTCAATTACTACATTCGATTTCCTTAGCAAATCATATTGTTTTTCCCCCTTACACAATAGCTTTCTAGCAGACCAATGAAAACATTGTTCATATGTAATTTGAAATATCAATTTGCACGCAAACTATAAAGCTTAGGAGGCAAAATCTCTTCTGTCCATGAAAACACAGAAATGAGTGTAGTGTCACTGCCATAATGATTATCAAATTGAGCTAATGTGTTTACCTCAATAATTCTAGGACATTAATTTATTAACAGCCTTATCAACAGAGTAAATATCTAAGAAGTTTGCATGATGTTTGAAAGCATTACTGTCAAAACAGTTGCCATTGTTTGGCATTTGAAGCGCAACATTACCTTTTGTGTTTGCAATTTAAAATGTTAATCATTAAGCCAGCAACCCAGTGCTTCTCGTTTGAAATCGAGAAGCTCTTGTCAACACTGCATAAACAATGTGTGACTTTCTACTTTGCCACAATAACAACTTTACTGCAAGGTGTTTGAACATTGGATTTTTATTCAAATTTTTTGGGAAGCTCAGCCACACATCACATAGAGAGACATGTCATTCCCTCAACTCTTTCCAGAAGCTGAAAATGCCAATGTACAATTACTTTTGTCACTGCAGCTAAGATGGCTTTTCACTTCCTGAAGTGGAGCTTCTAATCAGAACCCTTTTAGTGCTCTGCACTTCAGTCAAGCAGTGTGTGTCACTGTCCCCTCTCTGATTATTGGAAAGTCAAAAGGCACTTTTACCCAGAAAATAAAAGAACAAAGCAAAAGTCAGGGTTAAAGGATCTCTTCAAAGAGCAATATTAATGACTGACTTGTTTTTGTTTGTTCTTGTTTACTTTGCCTTGCCAAGATCTGAAGAGTTAATCTCTTGTTTTTGGCTTAGGAATCATCTTTGGAAAGGAAAGTGTAATCTTTGGAAAGTGTTTATAATAAAAGTAAAAGTGGTTGCCAGCCTTTTCAAGTTTAATGCAGGCATCTTGGGCCTTGTCACCCTATTTTCTTCTTAATTCAACACACATTCTATAAACCAACATCTCAGCCAAGACTGCAATTCTGCCGGTTTGTGTTTGTTCAGCTAAAAGATCCCGCTTAGTAATTGTCTTTGATTCTGCACGGCTAACTGCAACAACAAAATAAATAAATTACTAGCTTTGAAACTCTATGTTTAACAGGGCTAAAACAAACTAAAATTCAGTTGGCCCTACTGGCTCTCAAACTGCAAGTCGAAACCCTCGCTAGTCCTACTTAAAACACCCACCTTCATCTACAGAGCTCTTGACTTCTCGAACTGATAATTTCTATCAATTTAGAGCAAATATGTTCTTAACTTTGGTTGTTTATGGGCTAAAAACATGTCTTTAGGATTTAAAAATTTCATACAGGCCACATTTTGCTCTCCCATAGAATTTTTATCGTCTTTGGTCTTGATTGTTGTCATCATTTATGTGTCTCGGGTCAATGTTTTCTCCCAAACATGTTTGGGAGATCCATCTTCCTGCCATGTGTCATAGCCCAGTTTCAGGAAAGCCAGCTGTGCTTGCAGCTTAGCTTTAACTCTCTCTGGGACAAATAGGAATATATATGTACCTGCTGTAATTAGAAATAGCTATTGTTCCAGCATCATCACTCCACTGAGACCCGTTCCACTTGGCAAGAAACAAACAGCACAGATTATTCTTCTCCACAGTATGTGGGTGTTTTATTTTTTATTTTTTTATAGTCCAGTAAGAAAATATATGCGCACGTGCTTATGGATTTTCGTCACACACTACATGAATGTTAAGATTTATGTATGAAACAGGTGCTTAAGTTTGTCCTTTTCTGCACTGCTTGAGATTCGTACCTGAACATTTATGCAGCCTCAGCTGTTGCTTTGGTTTAGGCTTTTGCTTTCTTCCTGCATGACACAGATATCTCTACCTGGAGGAGCCACCCATCACACTGATTTTAATCCTGTCATGTATAATACATGGTCCCATTTTTAGTCACGTTCATTTAATCAGGCTAATTAAGTTGAGGTGTCCCTATTCTTAGTCAGTGTCTGCTCTTCCCGGCTACAGTTGCATGTCCCAGGTGTTAGACTGGTATCAGAAGCAGCCTGTACGTACAGTGTATTTAGTTTTTTATTCTTTCTCCTGTCAGATAACATTGAGCCAACAGACCTCGGAGGCAGGAAAAGTTGTGGAGCTTGAAGTTGATTTGAATTTTATTGGATCCAGGTTCTTTATTGGTTCTGCTTGAGGCTCTGATTGTTTGCAATTGATTCTTTCACTTGACTTTTTTATGTTTGTGTGAAGAAAAATGTACTTTGCTGTTATTGCTTTAAGCCTTATGTAAAAATAATTATTGATCAATTCCAATAAGGCTTTATCAGCTGTAATTCCAATGCTGGTGTCATTTAAGGATTCCAGGATCGTTTCTTTTTTTAAGATTTTAAGATTGAGTCTGTTTATCTCCAGTCAAAGGCTACATCACGTCCACCTTTGGGAGGAAAACAATTTGATCTGATTCTGTGTGATCACACGTATTCTAGTCAGGTCCACACTAATAAGCTCTAACATATTTGTATGTGGGTTCACAGACAAGCAAAATACGGCACAAAAACCATAGACTCACAACACTGTTGAAGATCTACTGAATTCTTATTGACGATGGACGTGATTTTTTCCTCTTTTTCTTGAATTGCTATGTAATTTTAAGCATATCATCATGAAATCTGTGCAACAAACAAAAATTAACATTTAAATGAGTTTAAAAAGAATTGACAAAGACACAGCTTTGTTGAATCACACCCTGCTACAACAGTATGGAGCTTGCAAATTGCTGTTGGAGAAGGGCGTGAAGTTGATGAAGTAGAGTATTAGTTAGCTCTATTGCAGGCCCAGATTGGACAGGAGAGGGATGTAATTACTTTAATGAAAGTGAATAATGAAGCCTTATTATTTCTGTGATGTGGATATCGAGAGAAGGATACAGATGGAAACAGCTTTTCCTCTCCCTAAAAGACAGATTAATATAGAGCACAGCTTTATAAATGGGCCTTGGTCCTTGGTTGTTGCATATTGATTCATGATTTCTTCTTCTAGTGAAATTTTATGTAGAGGTGTGCTTAGCAGGGCCTGTATGAAATACTGGTATGTCTATGAGATGGTTTAAAATCAGCTTTGCATATATTTTCACCTCCCATTTTTAATTAACATCTCACATAACATATTGTACTGGGGCATAGCTTCATCAATATTGCTTGAACAGACAAAAAGAATCTTAGCCATTGATAAAGCAAAAATGCTTTCTAAATCAAGAATTGGAAATGCATAATTGGTGAATAAAACATACCAGGATGTGTTTTATTTTAGTTGTGTGCATTTAAATTGCATGAGAGGCTTTGTGTTTGTGTTAAATCAAGGCTAAAGGTTATAAAATGTAATTAGGATTTACCACAGCATGACTAATGTACAACATTAAGAAGCTGGGTAAGAACGATGGCGTTACTTTGTTAATTATTTTTGCTTTAAATGTGGGGGATGTAACATCATGCTATCCTTGATAGCGACTCCTCCTAATCAGCAGTGTGTGAGACATACTGTTGGAAGAAGCTAAGCTAAGCTTTTCCCTGATGCCATGAATAAATGCAGCATAGAAAATTAGGTGCAAAATAGATGTAAGGCCATGCAGGTAATGTGTGTTCAGAGTCTCCTTGTGTAACTTCATGATTGATTGTTGATCCTTGTTGATTGTTGATCTTTGTTGTTGTTGTATATTTTTATGTTGTCAGTTTTTATATTTATATGTACACAATATTCTCTTCCATTCCGTTACTTCTGCACGGCACAGACCCAGAATAATGCACATGTATATATCTGCAACGTTGTTCTTCCATTCCATATTTATATATTTCTGCATTTATTTATGTTGACTGTATGTTTGTCTACGTGTAGCACCTTAACACCACAGCAAATTCCTCGTATGTGTAAAACACTACTTGGCAATAAAGCTCCTTCTGATTCTGATTCAAGTTTAAATCAATGCACATCTGTGAAGACTTATCTAAGTGGAATTAATGATTGTTTGCTTGTTTTGTTTGCTTAATTGTTTGCAAACACATCATAGTTCCATGTGGAGCTCTTTGTGCAGTTGAGAAAACCCATTTCTAAGCATAGACACATACAATTGCTGATTTTCTATATATTTGGTTTTCTTGTGTCGCATGATCTGAAGGATTGCTGCAACCATGCAACTTCTTATGCATCTCTGAGAAATGTACCCCTGCCCAGACAGTTCAGTGACTTTATGAGTAGGCTTGGCCATGTGTCTGTATCTTCCCTAATCTTTGGAGCTGCAGCCAATCTTGGCTCAGCCTTGTCCAGAGCGGCTCTGAACTTCTGCTCTGTGGCACTGCTGTCAAGGCAACATGCAGTGGACTCAGACTCACTGACGCCAAGTGACAACCTCTTGGAAGACAAGAATAGAAGTCCTCCAACTTCTACTCATTTCCTTTGAGAGGTCATATGGAATGGAGACTATAGGCTATAATATTCTTTTAGTAAAGTCTTATAAGTCCCTTTCTGTGATTCAATATATAACCACGCAATTACTAATACGTAGCTAGGTGTTCATCACCACGCACAGTTTACCCACTCAGTGGGAATCCTGATGCATCCGTGCCTCTGCTCCTAAAGCACTAATACATTTTGTGTGCTCTAACTCTCCAAGTCTGCACCTTTGAGAGCATAGATGTGTTTAATAGCAGCTGCCATTACGAAGCAATCAATGAGATTGAGTTCAAGCTTCCGAGTGCTCCCAGTTTTGATCGTGCTGTTAGACAAAGAAGGTTTTCAAGTAAAACTTAGATTTTATTGGTGAGTAACGCATTTTATATTAGTTTTCTGTCTTTCACTTCAGGTTGCCCTCCATGCATGTGGCGTTGCAACAGACATGGTAATGGAGCATTGCATCCAGGCGGGAGCCGCCTTTGTCATCAGTCCGTGTTGCTACGGCTTCATCCAGAACGCAATCAAGTTCACCTTCCCCAAGAGGTTTGTACATCTGCTCACCACACCTTCAGTGTCACCTCTCGGGGTGTCGGCTTTTTAAAGTGTTGTTTCTGACCTTGTTGTTTTCTTGTTAGACCCCTGCTTGCATCTGTGCTCCTCTCCTCTCTTTTAGTGATTTTCTTCTGTTTCTCTTTTGGGGCTCTCGGTCCCTATCATTTTCACACTCATTCTCACTCTCTATATCTCTTGTGACTGTGTTTTGTTCACCTCCTGTCTCTTATCATCACAACTGACAATATGAGGCAGCAGCGTCACATCGCCTTCACAACAGGGTCTGCCCCCCACCTCCGCCCCGTTCAGCAACAGAGAATAGGGTTCTCTCTGTAGAGGCTGTCTTAGATATTACAGAGTGACAAGAAAATCCAGTTGAAGAAATTCTACTCTTGGTATAATTACTTTATCATACGTAGTGTATCATATAATTAAAAACTTATTTTTCAGTCCTGGTGATGTCGTAAGCTCAAATAAGATGCTGTTTAAACGGCATAGAAGGAGAAGTGAGAGGTTTTACATAAATGATGTTGATCCAGTTGCTATAGCAGCACTCTGTTGACTAATGGCACTGTAATGGCTTAAGAATCATAGCAAGGAAGAATGCTGCTAAAACTACTTTAGGATGCTGGAGGCTTTAATACACTGTTGTGTAGGATTGTTGTAGCAACTGAGAGACGGTGATCACCAGCAAGTTAAGGTGGAGATTGTAATTGTCGGGCCACATCTGTTCTGGTCGCATCCATAGTTTTTTCCATCCAAATTTAGATGTAACCACAATTGCATTCCCATGGAAACTGCTAACAAAAAATGACATGCATGGAAAATGCTAGGTGGGGAACTGAATTTGATGAATTTACTATCTATCATACCACAAGTGATACAAGAATTAGCTAGCATGCTGTTTCCTAATTGTATGTTTAATGGGTGCCTGGTGTTGTGTTAACGTTGAGGGAAATGTTAATTCTGAGTGAGACTAATAACTTTAGCCTATAGAGCAAGCTGTTAAAGTAACAGGAAGTTGCTTCTGTTTGTAGCTTATTGGAATGCAATTAATTCAAAGGCCTTTAGTAATGTTAACTGCATGAAAGCAACTCCAAGGACGTGTCTCAATCTTAGCACTACTAAAGTACAGGTTTTCCAATCATGTCAAAATCATTGTTTTTTAAAGCGGTTCACATAGACTGTATAAAATATCAGGACAGGAGGCTTTTGGACTACCATTTTGAAGCCTCAAGTCTGACATTTTGCCCGTTGCCATCTTCGTTTTTTTGAAAAAGGAAGTGACCATATTCGGATGAGTGGGGGAGGGATACCCATTGCTACTCCTGACAGATTTGCCCTGGTTGCGACTTGTTAATCACAAGGTATCCACGCCCTAAAGCATAACCTGCCTTACCGTCTAATTGTACTCTAAATGGGAATTTACAAAATTAACATCATGCAGTATTGAAGAAGATTTCAAAATAGCGATTTAGACAATAAACTCAATAGGAAAGTGTTTACTGTGGTAATAAATAAATGAAGGGTAAGTTTGTAATAAGCTTACATACAATCGGACTTCTTTTTTGCAACGAGCAAAGTCAACCCCTGCTTGCCTTTACAAAGAATGCACGTTTAAGGCACTTCCACATTGGCATCACTTTTCAGATCCAGAGGTTACTATAAATTATTCGCATAAACTATGCACCCATCTTGTACCTTTTATAAGAATAGATGACTATCTCTACCATAAAGTGCTACTTTCCTAGCTACTGTAAGTGTGATATTTTTCAAGATCCGCATGAGAAAGTTTCAATGCAGCCTTCAAGGCTTTCAACATGAAGTGGGTGTGGTTTCATCAAAAGTTTGTCTGAAAACAAACAGCAAAATGGTGCAGCATTTCCTAGAGTGAAAATTATTCTAGAATTCACTTTTTAGGTTTTAGTGCGGAGTCACAGCTCAGTTGAAGTCCAGTCACCCCCAGCTTTCACTGCACATTCTTCTTTTCTTCATCTCTGCATACACCCTGTCATCCTTCATTGGATGTCGGTTTCTGTTTGTGGTAACAGAAACATGCAAGAATTTGTTTTCTGGCAGGATTTCAGGGGTTGCAGCTCACAGACTACCTGTCATCCAGTGTGTGCAGTGTTTTTTCTCTACTCAGTCTTTTAATAAATGCCTCTTTATGCATTCACTTAAAAATCAATGCTGTACCAGAAGGGTTTGCTGGACTTTAATGGACTTTGCCTGCTGTGCTGCCCTGGTGGGAGCAGTTTGGGGTACACATGGGTCACGGGATTCTGTCACCGTCATCTCCAGCCTTACTGCAGTGCACTTGAACTCCTCTGAAAGACTGCAAATGGGCCGTCCCAGGATGCTTTTTCCATAGAGCCTTAAGTTGCTAAAGCAGCTGGGGAGACCAAGCCACTATATGGCGAATGAGCTGATCCTCTCCATCTTGTCGACCTCTGTGATTGAGGCCAAGTAAAGCCCGTGTAGGAGACCAAATTTAAGCAACCAGAGCTTCAACCTGCCAAAAAGCAAGGACCTGTTGATGTGCCACTGGTGGTGTCCTGCCTATGCTGGTCTACTTGGTCTTTGTCTTTGAGGGTTGCATCATACCAGCGTCCCAGGCTTTTGACTGGAATCTCCAGTGTGGAAGCATTGATCTGACAGCTTCCCCATGACGATTGATATGCTCCTGGACTCGCTCGGCCTTAACTGCATCTGGGCCCACTCGATGTTCTCCTGCAGCTTTCTCAGCACTCGCACGCTGCAAGCCTGTATTGTGGCCATTGTGGTCATTTCATCCTCCTCATGTATGGCGTGATGGGAGGCAGCTGCAGGCCAGGTTTTAGCTCCTCTCCTCTCGCCTCCCACGGTGATGCTCTGATGATGACCTCCATGGCCATGGCGAATGGCTGCTGGGGAGATGGTACATCGGGCCATGATGCTTGCCTCCAGATGTTGCCATGCTGTGGCGTATTCTGCTGTTGTCAGGCATAGCTGCACATCCGGGAAGTAGGTTTTGACAGGGGCAGGGATAGCCTCTGGGACCCTGAAGTAGTTGAACGCAGTCCAAAGGAGTTTGTGAAGAGCCGAGCCAAAAGTGTTGGCGAGGTCCAGTAACACGACGTGGAGATCTATTCCATCCCTTTTAGCGGCTTGGGTTAAACAGTTTACTGTTGCTATGTTTCAGATGTACTGATATTTGATTTATTGGGACCCCTGCCAACAAATAAAGAATTCATATTTTTTGTGGTATAATTGACCCTAAAGTTCTGCCTTGGGGAGGACCCTCATTGTACAGTATAAATATTTAGGAGTTTTCACATACTTACTTTTTCCTCGCCTCACTTTTGCTAACTTGACACTTCACCCCTTCTGACTCCTCATAAAATATTAAAGAATTACAAAAAAATACTTTGCAGCTGTAATAGACAACATCCTGTGTTTCTAGAGTGCAGTCGTGCAGTTAATATGAGGGGCCTTCGCACCTGACTCTGTCGATCTTCGTCTTGCTACTTTGAGTGTTTCCCCCTCAGGTCATGTTCCAGGTATTCATGTGGATATTCTGCAGGTGTAGACATTCCAGGCAGTTCACAGGTTTTTATGAGCTGTGAAACTGAACTGCCCATTTCATTAAGTTCGAGTTAAACTTAAGACTTCTCTCCATCTGACCTGACTGGCCCCTCACCCATTACCCTCTTCATGTTGATTTTTAATTAGCTTCAGTGATGATCTGACTACGGTTAACCATCACAAACAAACTGACTTTGTTCCCATGTCATAGCAAAAGCACTGTTTTTGTGAAAGTTTCCCAGAGAGAAAGTGGTTGTAAAGACGATGCAAGCTTTAGATGTGGTTATATTGTATATTCCTCATTTGTTGTGTTGCCCCTAAAAATAAAATCTCTGCCCCAGACCTGAGCAAGTAAACATGACATGCAAGTGTAGTGTATACATCTTACTCCCACATCACTGCACTTTAACATCAAAATATCTTCTGTTTTTTCTGTTTTAACAGCAAAAGGTTCCAAGAGACTCTGACTTATAAGGTATGCTTTTTAATGTGATAAAATCTCTATGTTGCATTTATTATTTTTATTATATTATCTGTTATTATTTATATTCATTTGCACTCTGGCAAACTATCAAGAACAGAATACTGAAGTTCAACCACTCAGATTCGGTTCACTATATGCACATGGAAAGATGCCTTTTTGGGGTCATGACTTCTTTTAAAACATCATGTTCATTTGAGTCCTACACAGGCTTTTCTTTTGCAGCACAATGAAAGTTTTTTTCTCCTAGCTAATTGCTCCTTGATTGTGGTAAGATGCTGCTGCATCAACAGAAGTATAACGGAATCAGAGGCATTTTAGTTTAAAAGTTATGGTTTCAAATGCCTGGAGTGGAGTGCAATGACCCAGTGAAAAGGTGAATGTGCTTTGTCATACCACAATTGTAAGCCAGAAGAGATTCAAATGTGCGGACAAATGAAACAAACTTCATAATTAGTCTGTACTAGCAATAATCTACTAAGTTTGTACATAAATCCTTTCTAACTTTTTAGTAGCTAGTGATTTGTTAAACCATGTTGCACCAAGAAAACTTGAAAAATGTCCTAGCTAGTAAAGACTTAATAAGTAAATAAGTAATGTACATTGTTTCTTGGAAGCAACTGTACAACAGGAAGTTACTGTAGCATTACAATTTGTAACGTCACCTCCAGTAATAACAGTTTTAGGGACACAAACAATGTATTAAACTTATCTTGTAGTCTTTTGTAAATGTAGGTATGACTTTGTTTAATTTATTTATGTATGCATACATGTAGAAATAGATCTCTTAGCTTTCATTTCGGCCCTGGGAAGAAACATTTCCCAGGCAGTTTCAAGAGGGAGGCTCACACCCTCCAGTCTCTCAATTCCTTATCGCTCAGCACAGACACAGCACTGTACTCTGGGAGGGCCTATCCCCACAATGATGTATGGGACCTCTCAGTGCCTCGGGGGAGAATCTGTGCAAAAGTTGCTGCAGGTCCTTGCCATGGCAACCTCAAGAGTTGACATGTCACAACATTGGACCACCTCTAACTTCTTTTCTTGCGTGGTCTAGAAGAAACAGATTTTTAGAGACATGGCTTGAGAGGCTCAGAAGATTATATATTATTTACAAGATGCTGAGTAATTGGACTGTTATGTGATAGTGAGTTGTGAGTTTTTCTGGTATATGTCCAAAAGCCTATTAAGCAAAATAAATTCCATACATGTAGCCATACAGCAGGAGAAATCTATATTCTGTTTAAATCAGCAGAAGCATTATCTGTCACTTTAAACCTGAGCTATAAATCTCCCCTGCCTCCCCCAATGTATTTGCTTTCAACAACCATCTTTGGTATTTGCTATTTATTTGGGCTCACTGTACAGAACCCCACTTTCTCCTGTGCCTCTGCTCTAGAACCATAGTTGTCCTTCTTGAACTACAGTAGTTAAACAAAATGACAGCACATTGACAAATGGTGTATTACTGGAATAAAGGGCGAATGGTGTGAAATATTGGTGTTCAGCGCCAACTTTAAGCATCTGCTCTGTGGCCTTGCGTTCAGCGTCAACTCCACGGAGTGAAGAACGGAATCAATTAAAGTAGAGCCAGATTAGAGATGACTACCACTCTCCTGAGTCACTTAGTCCATGAAACTTAGTGAGGTAAAAACAGGACAGAAAAACTTGTCCTTTTGTTGGAAATAAATAGCCAGGGTTCATCTGGCCTTTTTGGAGAGTTTACAGTGATGATATCATGCAAAAATCTATTTTACGTCTTATGTCTGGTCAGCTACTGTTGACATACTGTAAACTGGTCTACAAATGATGTGCACAATGCAGAGAAATCTATTTGGTTGAGCACTGTAGCCACTGTAAATCAGTCCAGTGATACTGCAAAGAGAAGGCTGAAGGTCCACAGCCATGCAAGTGTCTCTGTGAAGCTGTATACTAATACCAACGTGCTATCATGCGCACAGTGAGAATGCTAACATGCTGATGTTATACTAGGTAACATTTACAAGGTTCACTTTGTTAGTTTAGCCTGTTAGCATGCTAACAATTACTCATTAGCACTAAACCTTAATTAGCACTAAACATAAAGTGCAGAAGTGTCTGATGGAAGTGTCATTAAAAGTTGGGCAAATTTAAAATTTGACTGGGCACTAGATGAAAAATCAGGGATTTACCAAAGTTGGTGATATATTTTGATATTTTGGTAAACCAAAAATGTCAGCATGCTGGTGGCTCTAGAGGAAATGGATCACAGAAGTCAGTAGGGTTCATCCTTTATGGAACATGAAAGTCTGTAAAAAAAAAAAATAAAATTACAACAGTTGTTGAGATATTTCTGACTGACATTGCCATCCATGAGCTTTTGTGGCTAAAGACATCAAATACTGTTCGGTTTGAGTTCCTACATAGAATTTGTTGTCATGTGATAGACCAGTGATGTGCTATTTCGCTGCCTCTCAGACAGTGCATGCTGAGATAGGCTTAAGCTGCCCTCTCCACGGCTGTAAGTAGGATAACAGGGTTAGTTTCACTGAATGGCTCATTATAGAAAATACTCTTTGTGTAATTCTTTCAATGATGATTGATCTGATCTGTGATTTTGCTGTTCTCGCAGCATCAGGGCAGTATTAATGTTAACTACATCTGCAGTAAACAGTTGCTGTACTCCTCGTCTGTCATTGTTTTAGGAACACATGATCCTATGTCGCTTCGCAGACCAAACTGCTGTCCAGCTCCCTCCTGAGAGGCGACTCATAGGTACTGTATCTTCTTCTAATACCTGACCTTTACATTTTATATGTCTGACAAAAAGGTATGTACATTTAAAAGATCCATGGTCTCAATACAATAGCCAAAGAACAATAAATATCAAGATAGTACCATTTTATTTTATGGTAAATTTCATTGATTAAATCCACATCACAAATTATCATGCAAGTTTTTTCCAGAATGACTCCTGACTGAGCTCTGACTCACAGTTCAAGTTTGAGTAACAGGTATCGTGTACATGCCGATGTGTGTGTTTTCTGAGATTTTTTTTACACCGTGGCCCCACTGCTCTACTTTTTCAACAGGTCTAGACTTTTGAGAAGTGTGAAAATGTTAATGCAGGGATTTCTTCAGTGTGACGAAACAGCTGCAGTGAACAGCTGCCAGATCAGTGTTCAGAGGGAAGTGTTTTGTCAGACCGAAACCTCCAGGCCTGTGCTGAAGCTTCAGCGTACAGAGGTTCCATTATGTTGAGGACTCTCTTCACCCTGATAGCTCTCCAGCTTATCAAAGCTTCCCTATGAATCTGAGGAGGTTCCCCAATGCCTCGTCAGTGTGAAGCCCTTTCAGATGTACCTGACACCACCTGTCACAGAGGTTTCTCCTCTATACCGGTTAACAGGGCTCAACCTCTCCCACTAACATTTTCTAACCGTGTTTGATCTCAACTCTCCAGAGCCTGCCAGTGTCACTGTGACCGTCTAGGCAGCATTGCAGACCAAAGCTTGCATTTACACACATTTACCTGCCACCTGCTACCTAACTGCTAGACTGCATAATGCATTCCAAGTCTGTTTAAAGAAAATTCTTAGAGAAAAGCGTGATAATCAGTGTGAAGTTGTTGATGAATAAGTCGCTACCCACGAATTCTACGAACATAAAGGAAATGGACAAAATATAGGAACACACACAATGCAAAATGCTAACCCATGCAGTTGTTCTACAATGAATGCTGTTTAATTAGAGCCTGACTGATATGTTGATCTGTTGATTTTGGCTTTGATATTTTAGCAAATTATTTGTCAGCAGCATACACAGATGGGTGACAAATTCAATTTAAAAAAACACGGCTGCCATCAGAAGTCGCCAGAACAGCTTCAGCGCTTCTTGGCATAGACTCTACAAGTCTACTGGAGGGATTAACACCATTCTTCCAAAAGATTTTGTCCCAGTTAGTGTTTTAATGATGGTAGGTTGGTCCAAAATGTTCATTTGGATTAAGATCTGTTCCATATCAAATGGTTCACATTTTTTTCCTCTCGTGCCCTGCGGATGGTCCTGTGAGAGACGACACGTCAGGATCTGATTGTTTCCTCAAAAGACAAGATTTAGATCCAAAATCATTTGGATGTTATTTTTGTATCGTGCAGCACATGTGTGTGGCAACATGTACAAATTTAGCAAATGTTTCACCCCTCAGTTACTCAGGTTTTTCCCTTTTCATTTGTCACCAGGCTGAATGTTGGTAGATGTGACAAAATAAGTGACATTTTATGTATACACATTTTTATTATAAAAAATCCTTCAAAATACACAAATAGCCTAATTTAAGATAACCTTGTTTCTGTCTCCTGTGTTATGTAATAATGTTCTGAATATATATATATTATCTTGCATTGGCTTAAAAAAAACAATATTGGTTAGGCTTTACTTATAATGTTTTTATAAACAGTGGTAACATTTGAGACTGTGCTTTGTGGTGCTGTGATTTTGGATAGTCAAATAAAAGGCAGTTATTTTGTCGCTACCAGTATAAACAAGAAATTCAAGTGTAAGGAAATTCTTGAAACTGGGTTATTTTATTTTTTATAATAAATGTTTAATTTCTTTTTGGACCATTCCAGGTAAACAGTGTATGGGCCTGGTAGACTTGGACCGCTCGTGGGCAGCAGAGACTCATGGGTACTCGGTGCGGGTGATGACTATGGAGCCTGAAAGCTGTTCACCAAAGAACAACATGCTGGTGGGAAGGCCGCCGCAAAAGAGTGGACAGGAAGTCAGTGCTAGCCAACTGGAAGCGGCGGTGCATAATTAGGACTGCAAGCACCGCTGTACAGGGTTTGATAAAGTACTCAGCCTCTGTGGCTCCTAGCTGTGTCATGAGGGTGCTGAGAATATAACAATTTTTTTATCCACCCTCAACATTTTTTTTTTTTTTTTTTTTTTTTTTTTTAAAGCCCCTTTTGTAAAACACTGCCTCTGAAATAAAACGGATGTTTGCTTATTACTTCTGGACTAGCAAAAGTCATCTTCTGAAATCTTCAGACTGGAAGGTAAAGGCAAAGTGCCCAGATTTTTGATACGACAAACACTCTGTGCCTGCTGAGCACTGCTCCTCTCCTTAGTTAAATGCTATCAATTATTGGACGCTTAATTGTAGTAAAAGAGCTCAAGTCTCTCACCAACTGCTACATTACGTTTTTGTCTTTGCCTAAACTGTGTGATCAAGCTGTCAGCGTAAACAGAAGCAGCAGGCCTTACACACCCACATTGCAACTTCAGTACACCATGCTTCCACATGCTGTTTTTGCAAATTGTCTGTATACGGCCTTCTGTGATAGAACTCAGGAGTCAGCTCCCTCTGTTGCCAGGTATTAACAGAGGAAGAGAGAAATTCTGAAATTTCTACAAACTCATCTGCACTTACAGATTATCATTATCTGCCTCCTCCTGTGTGTTTGTGAGAGACAGAGAGAGAGAGAGAGAGAGAGAGGAGGAGGATGTAGAAAGAGAGAAATTGGATTGAAGCTCGTATCACATCAGGTAAAATACAGCATTTGTCATGGTCCTACAGAGGAACTGATTATTAATCATAAAGACCGAATGTGAATATGGTATGGATTGCGTCACACCTTCAGCAGCAATGAATATTTTATCATACTGGCAAAAAGGTCAGTGTGCTTGATTAGATGCACACTGCTCCGAGCCTAGTAGCTGAAAATCATACAATGCGCACCATATTTCCAATTCTGTATACTTTAGACATACTATTGCCCCTTAAGCTTTCATTCTCCCTCTAAAAAATCCTGTGTTCTCACCTTTGACAGTAGATTGCTGCTGCTTGAGAAGTCCGGGGAGGTAGCTGGAGAGACAGTTTTCCTGCTCACACTGAAGGGATAAGACAAGAGTGGTGAAGGCTTTTCCAGCATCGAGCTCATCTGAATTCAGTTAGGAGAGTCAATCTATCCTGAGGTGAACGGCCACAGACACAGTTCCTTCCAAGGACTGGAATTATTTCAAAAGGAGATGTCTGACTCTTTGTTCATGCTTGTGGCTATGCACAAGTGCACATTACAGAAATGCATATGGGCACAAAAGAGGAGAGAGGGGGAGTAGGTGGCGCTACTTAAAGCTTGCATGAGAGAGAGAGGAGACTGTCGAGGTGTCAAGTGGGGTGATTCAACCCAAACACCCGGGGCTCAAAGGTGACTCGTCGAGATTCTTTGTTTAGACAAAATAGGTGAGATACCTGAGCTTCTTTCTATGTAAATGCACACCGCTTCCTTACTAATGATCAGCCCATGATCAGGAAGTCTTTCAGTGAGTACAGCATAGAGTCGGTGATACACTGTAATTAAAAGAATCAGAAACCGTTTTTTTGCCATGTCGGTTTTCACATACCAGGAACTCGCCTTGATCTTGTGGTGCACAACACTCAAAATATACAAATAAAAGACAGGAGTGCACAGTAGATTGTCATTAGTCAGTGAGTTTATGTATATGCTGACAATCCGCATTAAAGTAACACTTTTAGATATATTCTTTCCTATTCAACACTGCAGACATTCTTTTCACCATTTGTGCAGGTTTTCAAAAGCAATTTCAACGGAACAATTTGTTGAAGCCAAAAACCTCTAATGGAGCTTTCATTGTTTCATTAACTTCAGTTATTATTCATAATTAAAATCCAGCTCGCCTTGGTGTTTTCCACTTCATTACACTGGTAGTGTTTGTGGCCATTTGCCTGTAATAGTTGTGTTGCTCCATATTTCGGGTCCCTCCTATTGTTTTTCCGCTTTGACAGTGACCTTGTTATGTGTTTACAATTACTATAACAGGCACTGATATAAAGTACAAGCCCAGATGAAATGGATACAAGGGTACTCTGCTGCCCTTTCAATTATCTTACATGGCTTTTATATTTGCCATTTAACATGCATTACCACCAATGAAATGTGTTTCATTTTAGTTGTATATTTTTTTTCTAATAAACAACATTGGGCATAATTATAGAAGTCGAGAATAACAACAAATTATCGTGCACACATCTCCTCTTTGGTTGCCTAGAGCAGGTCCCAGCTGTTGTTATTTTGCACACCATAATAATATTGTAAACTATTCTCTGGTGCTTCTCATCCTACTTGTAACATCTATTTTTACCTTATATATCCCCAGTTTAGGATGTCCCCGGTTATATTCTATCTTTGCGCTTATTTTCTACTTTTGTCTGATGTAGCATTGTTTATTCAGAATGTAAGGAAATGATTCACTTTCCCCACTGGGTTCATTAAAGGATGAGTTCACCCAAATCACAGATATACTTTTTTCTTTTACTCCTGACAGTTGAAAGCGTGTTTTGTGGATTATAGACATCATTTCTAGAAAGTCATGTTGATGTTCAATACTTTTAGCACCAGAAACACCATTTGATAATGCTTTATTTTAATTCCTTTATAATTTCCTCAGACATTTCCCAGAAATGGCCATTTAATTTAGGACAGATTATAGGTTAAATACTGTAGATCCAGTGCTCATTTGGTTCCAAATACTTAATTCATATTAATACCTGATGTGACCTAAGAAGTCCCATAGCAGGTCTGCTGAAAATGCAAAAATCTGAAATTGGTCTACATTCAACATAATATAAGAGAACAATTTACCAGTAATAAATGACTAATACATTGATATTTGGGGTTAAATGGAACTACTCTTTCAAGATAATTCCTCTGGAAATCATCAACCGCTTCTAAATTCAACTACATCTGACAGCCATCTCCAAACTGGTTATTAAACTGAAAAACTCGACCATTGATGGATACTGCTTGCAAGACGATAATGTATTTTTGTGTTTTGCATGAACTCTCCATTTAAAGATTCATATGACCAGTCTTAAATTTCCACAGCATAGAGATATTGTTGGTAATGAGGCTCTGAATAACGCATAACTTATTTTTAAATGTAATAAATCATCGTGGAATCACATTATACAAGTCCAGTCATGAAAATAATGTGATTAATGGAGTGATTATTAAGTACACAACAGGCATCACTCCTATCACTTGCTTCTAGAGGAGTCTGTGCCACCGCCATAGATTTATTATCAAATTGGTGACTACCAACCAGCAGTAATCAAATCAAACCATCATCTCATCCATGTCCAGCTCCATTGCAGAACATGATGGCCCCTCCCCCTTTATTGCCCTTGAATCCTGAAGCATTATTTCTTTGACTGGCTTAACTCCTGGAGGCAGAAGGCTGTCACATCAGAATATGAGGCAGACCTTTACAATTGTGCCTGCAGACAGGAAGTGCACTTCACCAGACTTTGAATATGAAGTGCTGCTTTTGAGTCAGGCAGGATGAAATCACCCTAATAGAATGCAGACTTAACCTATTGACGACGAATGAGACCTATAAAGACCTAGCAATTTCATTTAGGGGTTCATCAGATTTTCAAGATTTGCAAAGTATGATGGGGAAATTGCATTCAAGAAAAGCAGTTGCTTGCGCGTCTTTTACCATAATGACAGAGAAAACAAAAGGCAAAGACAGAATCTGTAGCTGGAATCATTACGTTAAAAAATACTTAAATCTAAAACCACTTGTCACTTGTGTTTTTATACAATAATTACAGGTCTATTTATTCAAGTAGCCTAGTCCTCAAACTGTGTCAAACTGCTCATTTTGTATTTTGAGCTGCTTATCTTTTTGTCCTCTCCAAATTCAGCCCCAGTAATTTTCACTGCATTGTCTTTACAGCGCGAGCATCATCTACCTGGGTGGGCGATACACCTGCGTGCCTCAGCAGGCTACGCAGTTAATGAAGGCATTTCCCAAAAGCTCGATGCATCTGGATCTGGAGCCGCTTCCTCTTGGCCGTACAGGTCGTGACGCTACATTAAAAATCCCACAAGCGCGGCTGGATATCCGCGGTGTTTTGACCGCTGGTTATTGAAAAGACCGGGAGATAAGGTCTGACTGCAGTGGGTGCTGTTGGTTGGAGAGCCCGCTGACTGAACTTGTGAGGAGAGAGAGGGGGGGGGGGCGGCTGTGCGCTCTCTTCCCGGCAGAGTACGTCCCGCTCCCCCCACACACACACACACATCGGGGTCATTCTACTTCCAGGCAGCTGAATGGTTTCACTCCCGCACCTCCTGAAAATCGCACATGAACAGTCTGAGGGACGCCAGCGGACCTGCCCTACCTATGCACCTTCTGCGTGCGTCAAAGAAACTCTATTGTTTCTTCGTTTAATTGTTTTGAGACGCTGGTTCCCATCTGGTGCTTTTGGATTACTGAGATTACGGCGCGTAACGTTATCATGGATGTATGGATAAAGTTGATGTTGTTGTATAGCTGCTGCTTTGGAGCAAGTGCAGACTTTGATGGCAGGTAAGGGCACATGGTCTGCGAAAGCCTACGCTTTTTGTGAAATAACACTAATTCTGATTGAGAAGACATACAGTTCAATCAATGTATATGCTGTTTCTGTTTGTGTGCGCCTTTAAAAACAGCACGTGCTGTAGTGACTGCAAACTGAAGCAATAATTCAAGATCGCCAAACTGCGAAGCTGAATTTAGATATAACTGAAAACATGTTGCTCATGTGAAATTCTGAGCGCTCAAAATACCTTATTCGTGGTCTCGGCACATACGCTTGTATGTCCTTTTAAGTATATTCTCCTAACTTTTATTTGGATGAAAACAGTAATGATACGGCAAGTGCATCCAAACCAGTCGGGTTTGCGCCCCAGACTCATTATTTTATAGAAGAAGCAGTGTTTACATGTGCAAAAATCACATTGAGCAGTTCTTGCCCTGTGCAGATATCAGGCTGATTTTAAAGTGATCTGACAGCACATTGCCCGGTGCTTCATGTTCAAACATGAATCCTACGAAGTATGTGAAGACAGAGGTGTGGAGACGTGCCAGACCCCGAAGAATGCACGTGTTAGAGATTTGGATCTGCTTATAGATGAATCTGAGTTGATGAACGCGATGGAAGATGCCAACCCCCCCCCCCCCCCCCCACACACCACACACACACACACAGACACAGACACAGACACACACACACGCTTTTTTTTGTTTGTTTGCACCAATAAAACCGGGTTGTAATTTAGGTGTAAACCTGTCACATTCCTTTGAAACAAGTGTTTAAAAACATGAAAAAGTAAGTTCATCATTCATGTTCATTTGCAGAATGCTCATATGTTCCTTGTTAAAAGGAACTAAAGCAGTTTAAAGAGGTGTAATACACACTCTACTCCCTCTCTTACTGTGTGTCATACTGAGATGGATTTTTAGAGCTCAGAGTAAAATTGGACTGAAGTCCATCCAAACAGTGAGAGCGTTACACAAATAGAGTCCTACTGCCAAATTTCCTACATCTCCAACAGAGAATGCCGGCAAGTATTGTGCTTTATTTTTCCTCATGCATCTCTGTCAGACAGGCTGAGCCCCAAAGCCAGGGTCCACTCTCATGTTTTCACTTTTTCAAATGAATTAAACACTTTTGATGATTATTGGAGTTCATTGTTACTGAAAAGGGTGCATGCTTTTCAAAATGCCCATTCAGACTGACTGCCATTCCACCTGCTTGTTGATAGATTTTGACATCTGGAAGTATATGGCCTTTTCTTTTCCCCCCTCAGATCTTTCAATTCAGTTTTCTGCTGTGTTCAAAAGTGTTTCAAAGAAAGCGATTTGGATATCAAAGGTTTGGGCAAGAAGTGAAATTGTGTCTGTGTGCGAGCAAGAATGAGGGCAGAGATATTACAGAACTGAGCTTTTAAAAGCACATTCTTTATTGTTGTTATTTAGGACTTATTTTTTCTTAATCGCTGTGGCTAATGTCTGTGTGACAGGCTGTGATCTGATGAGATGTGTAGGGCTTTAACTTTAATTTCACGCATAGCCTTTGTGTAATGATCATTTACTTTAACCCAGCAACAGCATATTGTATATTATTAACATCCCTGCTGATGGAGTGGCTTGTCACCATGGCCATAATTTGCCAATTTTTATGGGTATAAACTTGCCCGGGCCCAAGTCTCCGCTTCAATATTAATTCATTGAGAGTATATCCCCTGAGACCGAGCACAAGCAAAAAAGCCATTTATTACCTAGTCTCCTTCACTTATTGCCTTTTAGAGAGCGTTCCTAACAGGCTTATCCATCTCGTCCTGAAGGGTCCTTCACAGGCATCATTGGCAAGATCATTTTGTTCTCCCATAGCTGCACATAATATGCTTACCTGCAAATCTGTTGCTGAAAACACTGTGTTGTTTTTGTTGCCACGTTTTATTACATCCAAAGACTCAAGGACAGCCGATTTCCCGTCATGTGACAAAGAAGACTTGGCAAAAATGAAAGGCAACACATACATGGAAGACATATAGCATGTTCTTCCCAAGTGATGTCACTGAATTGTTGAGGCCGACACAGCCAAGCAGCACATACCAGACCTCCTCAGTAATAATCCAAAGTCGTGGAGTTGTGCCAGGTTTTGTTGGCGTTGTAATATCAGACCCACATTTGGGCTTTCAAGGCTTGAGAATGAGTGCGAAATACTGTGAAAGTCTCATTTTATTGGTTGCCCAACAGGCAGTATGAATTTTTTAGTTTTCTCAGCATTCAATATAGCGTATGTCAATGTAGTGACGAAGAACGTACCGACATCTTTGTTTTGAGTCATAGAGAAGATTTAAAGTGTAACCTTGCCATATTGTTTTCTGAGAGTGAACAATAAGTGAAGTCAGACTCCACTGGCTGACAGTTCAGCCTTGGCTATTGAAAAACATGCATTCAAGTACTGTACCTCACAAGCCATATCAACTTTAATAAATTGCCAGGTCCCAATGGAAAACTCTGCATAGAGCATTTCAGTCTATGACTAATATAACTGCTCTCCCTGTTATTTTCACTCAGCAAACAGGACAGTTGGGAACTAAGTGGGAATCAGATGAGAAACTTTAAACTAAAATGAGTGCTACATGGACAATCGGACCTGTGCGGACTACCACCGTTGGTTGCCATAACAATCTAGCAAAGTCATAAAAGGAGAAGTATGTTCAATTTGAGTATACAGGCATGTTTTGTCCTTTATATAAAGAAAGAAAGAGTTGCAGGACAGTCTGGTCGCATTGACTTATCGCAAGTCACTTAAGACAAAAATGTCAGCTTAATCAATGTAACATAATGTAATGTATTTATATAAGGTGGTTGGACATTTTACTCCCTCATATACAGGTGCTGGTCATATAATTAGAATATCATCAAAAAGTGAAACTTGGATATTATATTCATTCATTACACACAGACTGATATATTTAAAATGTTTATTTCATTTAATTGTGATGATTAAAACTGACAACTAATGAAAATCCCAAATTCAGTATCTCCGAAAATTAGAATATTACGTAAGACCAATACAAAAAAAGGATTTTTAGAAACGTTGGCCAACTGAAAAGTATGAGTATGTACAGCACTCAGTACTTTTCAGCTCCTTTTGCCTGAATTACTGCAGCAATGCGGCGTGGCATGGAGTCGATCAGTCTGTGGCACTGCTCAGGTGTTATGAGAGCCCAGGTTGCTCTGATAGTGGCCTTCAGCTCTTCTGCATTGTTGGGTCTGGCTTATCGCATCTTCCTCCTCACAATACCCCATAGATTTTCTATAGGGTTAAGGTCAGGCGAGTTTGCTGGCCAATTAAGAACAGGGATACCATGGTCCTTAAACCAGGTACTGGTAGCTTTGGCACTGTGTGCAGGTGCCAAGTCCTGTTGGAAAATGAAATCTGCATCTCCATAAAGTTGGCCAGCAGCAGGAAGCATGAAGTGCTCTAAAACTTCCTGTTACACAGCTGCGTTGACCTTGGACCTCAGAAAACACAGTGGACCAACACCAGCACATGACATGGCACCCCAAACCATTACTGACTGTGGAAACTTTACACTGGACTTCAAGCAACGTGGATTCTGTGCCTCTCCTCTCTTCCTCCAGACTCTGGGACCTTGATTTCCAAAGGAAATGCAAAATTTACTGTCATCAGAGAACATAACTTTGGACCACTCAGCAGCAGTCCAGTCCTTTTTGTCTTTAGCCCAGACGAGACACTTCTGACGCTGTGTCTTGTTCAAGAGTGGCTTGACACAAGGAATGCAACAGCTGAAACCCATGTCTTGCATACGTCTGTGTGTGGTGGTTCTTGAAGCACTGACTCCAGCTGCAGTCCACTCTTTGTGAATCTCCCCCACATTTTTGAATGGGTTTTGTTTCACAATCCTCTCCAGGGTGCGGTTATCCCTATTGCTTGTACACTTTTTTCTACCACATCTTTTCCTTCCCATTGCCTCTCTATTAATGTGCTTGGACACAGAGCTCTGTGAACAGCCAGCCTCTTTAGCAATGACCTTTTGTGTCTTGCCCTCCTTGTGCAAGGTCTCAATGGTCGTCTTTTGGACAGCTGTCAAGTCAGCAGTCTTCCCCATTATTGTGTATCCTACAGAACTAGACTGAGAGACCATTTTGCAGGTGATTTGAGTAAATTAGCTGATTAGAGTGTGGAACCAGGTGTCTTCAATATTGAACCTTTTCACAATATTCTAATTTTCTGAGATACTGATTTGGGGGTTTTCATTAGTTGTCAGTTATAATCATCAAAATTAAAAGGAATGAACACTTGAAATATATCAGTCTGTGTGGAATGAATGTATACATTATACAAGTTTCACTTTTTGAATGGAATTACTGAAATAAATCAACTTTTTGATGATATTCTAATTATATGACCAGCACCTGTATGTGAATGAGGCAGGCGTTTTTTTTTTATATGGTGCTCTATTGAAGTGCATCAATGTACAGCTTGGGAATGCCTCAGAATTGAGTCAACCCACATAATACTACATCAGAAGTGTCAACAAAAGCATTTTTAGTCATGTCTACTGCAGGGCTATTGTGTTGCATTTCATTACATCATACAGGTGTTTTTATTCTTCTGGCCACTCAGTGAATATCTTCCACTGTGTCTTCTTTGTATAAAATAGCAAAAGAGCATTTAGATTTAATAAGCTGGCTGATATCTCACTTTAAATCTTTACCTCAGATATTTGTCAATATCCCACATGGTGCTGTGTGTTAATGTGAGAGACTTGGCAGTCTGCATGCAGATCCGGCTCTGCTGAGGTGGTCCATTAAGACGGTAGGCACCTTAAGGCTCCACAAGCTCGTGCCGTCAGCTGAGCTTGGCAGGTTCGAACAAGTCTTTCACAACAAAATGCTACAAATACAGCAATCAACCTCCAATGGGTGTTTGTGAGGAAAAGGCATTTAACAGCCATGCTTTGCATGCTTCAGTATGGATTCATGGACGGATGATAGATAGATTGATTAAATTATCATCGCTCTGAATGAGGACAAAACCTTCATGGTCCTGATTATCCTGTTACACCCCACACTGCTCCTCTGTGAGTGATGGACTGACTACTCTTCACTGTCAGGCAGGGGAAGTCAGCCAGCTGTGTATCCATTAGTAAAACAATGGAAGAAGTATGCCGTCCCCATAGTGCATCTTAACCTCTCGAGTTCTGCTGGAAGAACCTTGTCTGATATTCTGTGCTTGAGAAGAGGTGTCACAGGGTATGCATGAAGGGTAATAATTATCCGCTTGAGTTCCTTCAAGGCTTAGTGCAATTTAGGAACATTATTCAGAGCCTCTGGGTATTAAATACAGGTATTATGCTCACGTCCATTTGATATGCCAGCTTTCCATTCAGTAGAATATCACTGGGGACAAGATGTATCAAAAAGAAAATGCTCTTCTTTTTTGTGCAGTGTGACCGTAACTCCAATTGTTGATTGAGATTAGTTGTGATTTTCAAGCCATAAATGTTCCAAGAAAAGAAAAATACATTGTTGACATTGCTGCAGTGTTGATGTGATGAAACGTGAGCTGATGAATTTTATTAAACCCTCAGTTTTGAGTTCAGAGCGCGTTGAGGTGAACAACTGCCACGGGCTGCATTCAGCATGAAGAGAAGAGTGAGAACATGAAACGGGATTCCATATTCATCGTGTGTGTGTGCATGTGTGTGTGTTTATATATGAGTGTGTAAGAGAAAGCATTAGAGAAAAATGTTTGATTCAATAATCCAGGACCTGTTGCATCTCATGAGGTTGCCGTCTTCTTATTGCTCTCGCTGCACCAAACAGACCTCCCAGACACCTCTCGCCCACTGGGAGCCCGTAGGAGTTCAAACTGTACTCTTTTGCTCAGAGTCTGAGTCAGACAGTCAAAAGTCATGCTCCTCAAATTATATATATATATATATATATATATATATATATAATATTTATTTTATTATCATTTTTTAAATCCTCCAGGCAAACTAAATATCAGCTCCACTAGCTCTACCATATTATCATTTCCTGCTACTAGAAAAACAACTAAAAATCTTCCATTCATCCATTGACTTTTCCTATTCATACAGTCTATGGTTCCATCTGAATTTTATGGCTGCCTCGACTGCCTGTTGTTTCCATTTTGATAATAATGCTATATTTCATTGACCTTGGATATCAATCTACAAAGGAATTTTTGTAGAGGCAAGGTAAGGCAGGCAAGGTAATGTCTTCAAATTACCTTGACAGTCCAAAACCCAAAAATATTCTACAAACTTTATTATTTTTTTTATTTTTTATTTTTTAAACACTAGGAACCAGTGAATTTTTGACTATATTGCTTAAAAAATTTATTTAAGACTAATTTATTATATAAAGATAGTTGATGATTCATTTTCGGTCAGTCACCTAATTGATCTAACACTGTTAAATGTGATTACATAAAGACTTTCAAAGAGGCTGGAAAAGAAGAGCTGGTAGAGTAACAAGCATCTGTCAAACAATTTGCTGGATTTTTTTGATGCTGCCAAAAGGAACAAGATTGGTGCTAAACACCACTAAATCACAAAGAAATGACCACAGGGATGATCTATGACAGAATTTCTGGTATTAATGACTGGCCTGACATTTCAAAAGAGCTTTTATTCAGGGCCATTAAAGCACAATGTACAAGGGAGACAAGACCTGGACTTTTTTGCAGTTATGTGGAGCTCTGGCAGAAGACAAAGCATGTCTTTAACCCACAGAATCTTTTGAAAACCGTTAAATGTGATGGTGTTTCTGGCACGGGCCGCTTTCCACTGGGATTCATCATGTGCAGTGATTACTTTGTAATGTCATATAACTGCAAAATAATATGTGACCAATTACGTTATACTGAAGCAGGTGCACCGATAGCGACATAGACTCTTCCAACATGATGCCTCCATATTGTAAGATGATAATTACTTTATGCACACTGATTAATAAACTCAAGTGTGTATAAGAACATGACGATGAAATCAGCTTCCAGTTACCAGATTTAAAAATCACTGAAATGGGAGGTTGTCAGATGTTTTTAAAGGTGTCACCATCCTCCAACTTTAGTGAGTTTTGCCACAGGCAGAGATCTTCTTGTTTTGTTTTATGTAGTATGTTTACAGTTTGGAGGGACAGCAGGTGCCATGTTTGTGCATGTGTGGGTGCATGTCACTCGCAGAGATACGGGCATCTAAACCTGACTGCTGTCAAGACCTCTCTTTTTCTGTTTTCTTACATTTTCCTTGCTTTTCCTTTCCTTTGCTTCCCTATCCCTATTTCCTATTTCCCTTTCGTTTTTCTCTCCCCTCTTACTGTGTGCATGGAGTTTCTCCCTGCCATGCCTGACTGCCTTCCTGCTTGCCAGGCAGCAGACAAACATTTTCCCTGGATCTGCCACTCTCACTTAGCATCCATCTGTTTTTTTTCCAATGAGGTGATTGGCAGCGGGGGCAAGCATTAGCATTTCCTCATCTTGGCGTAGAGACACTAACAGGCAGGGATAGCGGCAAAGGATGTGCCTTGAATACTGAGCAACAGCCCAGCTCTCTCATCAAGACACAAAAGAAAGCATCTTTGTGGAAAGGCAGTATATCAAGAGTGTTTCTCCTTTGTTTTATAACTAGATTACAGTGTTTTTAAGCTCCTCTGTTAAACACAGTTCAGGTCATTCAGTTTTCATATATTGGATTTATTCAGTGATCTACACAAAGCTCCCATGTGTTCAAGACCTCTTATAATGTTAATGAAAGAGCAATATCTTTATTGTACATATAGGAAAACAATTCTCTCAGCTTGATCTTTCCTAGCTTCTGATTCATTGACTATTTGCTAGAGTTTAGGTAACATCTCAGTGCCAGGCTCTCAAAGTATGCAGCTTGGATTTTCATCAGTATCCTTAAATGGACTCATTCCTTCGCCCTATTCTCTCCATAAATATGTGGTGAGCCTTGGTGCAGATAAAAAGGTAATCCACACGCACTGTCTGCCAAGAAGCTATTTCTTGCTCTGAGCAGAATAGAACATGGTGTAACAAAAACATCCGGCTGTAATTTCTCTTAGAGGAATTGCAGTGGTTGGGAAATAATCTATATTTCTACACAACATTAATACATGCCTGTTCTCTCTGCAGCAGGAATCATATTATCTTCCACTGTCGTGAAATTGTCGGATAGATTCTTTAAACATACGGTACATGAATGCTTTCTCTGACATGTGCTGATGTGATAAATGGAGATAGGACACATACTGTATTTTCAAGAGCACCAGGCAGTACATGGCTTCAAATCTGTCTCACAAGCCCTATAATAACGCAACAGTAATGTGTTCTTCCACTATGTGAGTGTCACTGGTTTACTGATGCACACTGAAGGCTATATTCAAATTGGGTCTGGCAGGCTTTCAACACAGGTCTCCAATTTGACATCGCACAAACCAACATGATCTCATGTGCTATCAGTTTTATTTCCATGACGCAAAGATCTGCTATAGGAGAGCAGTGAATAGTCGTGTTCGGGCACCCTGAGAAAATGTAGTGTGTTATAGTTTTTATTAATTTTGCTATTGCTATAGCAACTATTTTGAAAATCCATTCATTGTTTTATTGAGCAGTAATGGCAAACATTTCCTGATTCCAACATCTCATATTTGACTATTTGATTCTGGTCTTTGTCTTGAATGATAGTCTCTGCATTTTGGACTATTAGCCAGAAGGTGAGTCAAATGGGAGATATGACCTTGGAATCTGGGAAGCATTTTTCACTGTTTACTGTGAATTGACAAATATCACTGCTGTATTAATGCTCTCACTAAAAAGGTGCATTTTCTTTCTTGCATACTCAAGTACAGTACATGTAGTAGAATTTGAGCCCTTCAGCGCTATTGAAGAGCTATAATATACTTAAAAATACAGAAACAGATTAGTCAAGTTAGTTTTATAAATATATAGCCCAAAATCACAAACTTTCTTTACAATCTGTAAAATTTATGACACCTTATCTGGGAAAAACTCCCCCACATATACCTTTAACAGGTGAAAAAAAAACGATAATTACTTTTATATTTATACAAAGGTACACACACTTTTATATTTTCTCTATACAGCCGGAAAATGAAATGAATCATGTGAATGTTTGAAAGCCTCCCTCCAAACAACATTCAAAAGACCCCTGCTTTTCATTAAGACATTTTAATTGGCTGTGAACTAATTATATCATCCCCTCACAGGTGGCCACGGCAGATGGCCTCGTCCAATGGTCTGTGTCGATATGGGGCCAGGGTGGACTGCTGCTGGGGATGGACACGTCGCTCCTGGGGTCACTGCCAGCGTGAGTGCCACCGTGCCTGCTGCTGCTGCTGGGGGCAAACAGGGCTAACAAGGTTGCGAGGTTTCAAGCTGGGGACAGAGATGCTATTAGACAGCGGAGACACTGTAACGCTAGCACAGTAACTAGAGGCTTGGGGAAACACACAAACATGCACATTCTCACAACAGTACAGCTAATGGAGCATCACACCTGGGACAATGTTTGAGGAAAGATTGATGATAATGGCTGGCTGGACTGGAGGACTGGCTGACATTTATATTCATACTGCGGGTGGCCATAATGAGGGAGAGACCGTAGCTGCAGCTGTACCAGATCCAAGGGTAGATAAGACATTGATTATAGATCACTACTGTCCAAAAACAAGCTAGCTAACACTGCCTGAACAAGAAAAATCACAATCCATGGTGTACAGACAAACCTCAACTCATCGGTACATTCAGCAATACTACTTAAAGGATTCAGAGGATGTGTCCTGTTAGTACCACACGCCTGTGTAAGATGAACCATATGAAATATCAACACGTCACATTTTCGACATATTTACATTGTGTAAAGAGCCTGTGCTCTCCTGTAATGCTAACCAGGGATGTGTGAATATACTACCATGTGTTTTAAATCTGGCTAGTTGCCTGAAATCTTCTGCATGGCTTGGTACCTGTGCTGGTATTAGCTGCTGCTTTGCTGTGGAGTTTTAATCAAGGAGGGGTTAACACAGGCCTTTTCCACAGCAGGAAATTAGCAACTTGAAGGAACAGTTAGACATTTTTGAAAATACTCTTATTTGTTTCCTTGCCAAGACTTAGGCAAGAAAATCAATACTACTCTCATATCTGTCTGTTCAAAATAAAGCTATGGTCAGCTGTTGATTAGCTCAGAATAAAGACTGTAAAAGGGGGGAATAGTTAGCCTGGCTAATCTAAAACTGCTGCTACACTACACATTAATGAATGAGAAGATAATCATTAGTGAGCTTTGGAGGTTCTGGTTGGTGGATTTCTTTAGACAGAGTCAGGCTAGCTGTTTCCAGTCTCTATGCTAAGCTAATCTATTTGGCTTCTAGCTGTAGCTTTATTTTAAAAGTGGTATTGATCTTCTCATCTAACTCAATATATGCAATGTGGATTTATTGAATGGATTTAATAGATAGCCATTGTCACAGGTTCTGGTTTTGATTCCACTGTTTTCCACCCGCTTCAGGCATGTCATCCTAAAACAAAAATTTGGATATGCTCAATTGTGATTAGTTAAGCCATCACATCACAACAAAGGACAACTGTAATAAACACAAGAACACAGCAGTAACCAACATTTCACTACTGCAACCACTTGTTCAACCAACATGGCGAAGTTTGTATTGTCATTGATAAATTTTGCTGTTGCTGTTTGAGACCTGTAACTTTCACAAGTTGATCTTTCAAATTATCTCTCTCTACTTTCTGGTGTTGTCCATCCTCTATTCATCCATCTTCATTGGCATATCATTTTCAAGTTCACATAAACGTGAAAGAAAATCAATGTCATCAGTGTGTTGTCCCACACATCTGCTCTTCTCTACCAAAGCACACAGGGCATGTTCAGTGAAAAGCGCTATGGCATTTTCAGTGAATCATGTGAAAAATGTCCCAGTCTGTAAAACAGTGGAAATACAAAACAGAATGTAACATACAAATTCTTAAAAGTTGAGATTTTTTGGAAGCTCCATATTATGGGCTGTTAGATTCCTGCTGTGGTTCATAACTCTGCATGTCGGTTCTGGCCACATATTTATATCTTGTTAAAATAATATTTATTAATTCACTCATTTTGCGTTTTTCATTCTGAAATGACCATATTCTGATTTATGTTCTTATAATATCGAAACTCATCATGTCATGATTAACTGTAGCTGGCCTGTATATTTTTTGTGGGAAATATTTCACACACTGCTTGTTGGGTCCAAAGGTTTGTGTTGCTGCAGCAAAAATGTTGTTGAATTTATTTATTAGTTTATTTGACAGGGACAGTGTGCATTAATTAACATTGCTGCAAATGCACCAGAATTAGCCAAAAGGCTATTTTTCATCCGTTGTCCCTTTTTTTTTTTTGCTGGGTTTAGCTGCTATTTTTTACTTTAATTTCATGTAAAAGTGGCAGAGTGCCATCTTGTCACTTGATGTTGGAGTGCACTGCAGGATTTCTTATTTTGTTCTGGAGAATATAAACAGTATTACTTCAGTTCATGGCCCCAGTGTTTTGTATCCCTTTTACCCAGACTAACCTAAGGTCTTTGCAACACAAATCTGCTTTTTATCCACGTCTCGCTTGATGTCTGTTAGACACAAAATATGATAATTTTATTATTGCGTAAACTCTTGGAGTCAGAAAAAAACTTACGGTAGTGGTTTATGGGACAGACCTAGACTTGTAGCTTGGAGGTGGTGGATTCGTGGTTGTAAATTAGAGTTTTTTTTTAATGTAATATTTGGCCCTGTTCAAAAACCTCCTACCTTTTCCCAAGGCCTTGACACTTGAACTACACAGTCTGTGCTGGAATGATTTAGGCAAAAGCACCACTCAGACAGCTCAATTGTATCATTCGATAGTGTTTGTTTGAACATGAGGCCAGACTCAGCAGTAATCCTGGCAGGAGTCAGCCATCTCAATGCCCAATACCTCCCAGTGCATCTGTACTGGGCTCTCTGCCTTTACAGCTTCCCATGATTTGGCAATTCAAGGTGGAATAGATGTGGGTTTTGGATGAGGACCAGACAGAATAGGATGACTTTATTATCACGGAAGCTTAGATTAGGGTGCAAGATATGATTCATGGATCCATATTTTACCCACTTAAAACCCAAACATTGATGAAAATTTAAACGGCAACAACAACAGCATAGTTACAGTTCCATAAGACAAAATATTAATTGTTTTGCTTGTAGACAACAAGGATGATGGCGCATCTTAGGTGACATTCATTCAATAATAAATTAAGCACATACATTAGAAAGGTCATGTTTGCGTCAATAACACGAGCAGACCAAACAGCAGTGTGTGAACATGTTTTCTTTTTTGTTCTGGAGTCTCACATATCCCAATGTTGATCCAAAAATATGAGCTAATTTTGAGCTTAACCACCATATCAAGCTGCTACAGTACTTTCACACAACACTCAAACCACTTTTCTTTTTTCATCAAAACCATGTCTGTTCTGTGAGTTAAATCATTCAGTGAGTGCTTGCCTTAATGCTTCCAAATGCCCCTGACTGGGTGCACAGCTCAAATCCTTTCACTTGAGACTACAATCAGTATTCCATCAAGTCAGTAAGGTGCTGATTTAAACCGTAGAGGAGGGAGGTGGAAGGTTTGAGAAAGAAATAAAGGGTAATCATGGGGGTGTATGTGTGTGTGAGAGGATATAGTTGTTACAGATTTCAGTTCTTGGCAAGTTTTTGTGACGATAAAAGAGTTTCATTTGGAGCAATTGGACTGTGGCTTTCTTAGCCACGGAGCTCCGCGATCAGTTTGTCCAACTTCTCTAAAAGAATGAGAAACTCAATAGATCAACCTTGATTTTTCCAGAACTGAAAGAGTGAGAGAGAGAGAGGGCAGAAAGGACTTAAAGTTGGAGGAAGTAAAAATCCTGTGCTGTAAGGGAAATGGTTCAGAGGTAAGGAGTTAGAGATGATTGCTGCTAGAGTTGGAGAGAGACGTCGGAAGAGGGAGACAAGTGAGAAAACCGGGCAGATGGAGAAAGAGAGAGAGGGGAGCTTTAGATTTATAGTAAACTGAAGCTCCACTTATAATGTTCTGACAGGCCATCCGGCAGGCAGAGCCACACTTGAAGCTACTTATTCTAACCAGCTGCCATCATGATCATTTTACTGCCACTGGGAGCATTTGAACATTTGTTCAGCAATTACACTTCCAGTGTAATACAGTTTCCAGTAATACTTTAAAAAAATATATATCGACAAGTTGATCCCACTGACTTTTTATCCAAATGGTCCACTCAATCAGTCATGTCAGATATGTGAGCCTGACTTGAAGTTCAGGCTAGTTTCATCCATATTAGATGTTTTGAAAAGTAAAATTTTTTCAGCTTTTGCTCGGAAAATCAAGAAGACAGATATTCATTAATTCATAACAACTTTAGTGTACTCACTAAAGAACTCATGATAATACAGCCCAGTATTCATCCGAATTATGTTCAAATTGGACCATTCTGCACTCATGATAATGTCCAATGACGGAAGTGTGCCATGTATGTAGCAAGGGTGTGATGGGTGGGGTGGCGGATTCAGACGTCCATGTCTGTTCAAAGGCCTGCAATTAATGTTTGTTTGTTTGTTTTTTTATTTCACTATACCTAAATCCCAATCTTTCCATAACCGTAACCATACATTAACCATCGTTTATTTGCCATAACCACTTCTTTCCCTAGCATTGGCATTAACATAGTTGCAACGTGCAGATATTGTGTCATCCAGTGATTCATCATTCAGCTGCCCCCCTAAACACATTGGCAGTGAACATAAAAAAGTAATTCAGTGTAATTTGGGGTTTTGTAGAATCTTCCGATATCAACTTTCTTGTCTGGAGATAGGGTTGGATTGTACTCCTACTGATACTGTAGCTACAAAAAGAAAGACTTTAAACGTGACTTGGACTTGTCGAGTGACGGCTGCCTGAAGACCTGACTTGAGATTTGAAAACAAAAACATTCAAGTTAACATTCAAATCAACAGGTCTCAGGTTTTGACCAGGTAAAATACTGGAACAATGAAACACCTCAGGAAAATATACACTGCTTTGACAGGTAAACCATCAAAAGGTGTGACATGTTAATGGTCAGAATTCAGAGGCCTGAAAGGCTTGAATTGCCTTGCAGTTTGCTTATGAAGACTTGACTAGGACATGTCTCAAAGGGTTTGACTGGATTTTGATTAATTTCAGTCTTCCCAAAGGCTTAAGAACAGCTCTGGAAGCAAGACTTTTTTCTGCGTTGTAAAGGAACTGGGTTGAGTATCACCTCCATATTAAATAGATCACACATTATTATTTCCTCAGAGGTCCTGGTGGATTTTACAAATCCATTGAGACCGGGATTTAGTTTGATTGAGTGCAGTCTTTGTTTCGACAAATAGTTTGGACAGGATTAAGGCAGGACTTTTGAATTGGTAATGTGAGCGATGAAAGCGGAAAAGTGATACCTCAGTTTAACTTTATCATGATTTTCTGTGCAGCTTCCTTGTCTGCTCTACTTTCTTTCATGATCACTGGGCTGTAAAGGCCCATCTAAATGTGTTCCTTTTCAGCTGCTGAGGGTAATAAAGTAAAAAAAAATTACGGGTTTGCTCGTAAAAATTAGAGGCAATATATGAAGAAATAAAAGACACATGTTCAGAATTATGTGAAGCAATTCGGGCTTTAAAGGCACTTCAAACAATCTGTTCAAAGTCCAGTAGCTGCAGCATTTATTTTTATATTAAATGCTTTGATCTCATTGAATGATGTTGGTGCTTTCAGTGCTGTGATGTAATTTTAAGGCTGTTTCACAGTGTGTGAGGGACAACTGCTTAATTCACCTCCATTGCACACAATAAAGGAATGAGTTAGGGATGAATCAGGATCAACCTCCTAATTAATTACAGTATCGTAAAGTGTTTATTAAATTATTAAAACTCATTTGTAAATGTATTCAGCTGTACTTATTACCTAGCAGCAACTGGGAATATGTATGACTCCAGAACTCCAGACTGTGTGTGAGTGCATGTTTTTGTTTTTCCAGGAACGTTTGCTTGTCAAAATCAGCAGGCTCTGCCCTCTACCATCATGTTTATTTTATTTTTCTACCAAAGACTAAACAATGCCCGCAACCTCTGTTTGTTTGGCTATTTGTTTTGCAGCTCTCTACGCCTTAACTCACAGAGTAGCCGGGATAAGGTGCCAGCCCCAAGGTTAGCTCCAAATGTTTCTTGAAATAATCTTGCTAGACATGTATCGCTGGGGGCACATCCTCTGAATCCCGGGCTCACTCACTTATTTATAGAGCCAAGCCCCCCCACACACACACACACACAACCCACCGAACACCACTAACACCTTACGGCCCTTGAGAGCGGCCATCTTCTTCCCTCTGGCCTCAGATCTATGCAAACAGCTTACACTCCGCAGACCTGATTTCACCTCAAGCCTTCTGACATGAATTATGCTGACGTTCTTCAATGTCTCATTAAGATTCAACTGCATCTCTAGTCGACCCATTAAAATAGTAATGAAACCCTTTAAGTTGAAATCCATAATGCTTTTTAATTAATATATCTGTAATATATCCATCCATGTGGTGCAGAGTACAAACTGACTGTGGTTGAGGGTGCTCAGCATGTGTAACTACTTAGAAATCTTGATAGGATCAGTCATGTTAAGAATGCCAATGCCATCATACTTCATCACGTCACTTGTTTAAATGAAGTAATCATCATGACATTACCCGGTCGATTGATGTCAGTGCATACAAACAACAAGAAGATAAAAAAACTCGGGCCAGATACTAGATGATCTGCATAGCCTATATATGCTGACATTAGTCCTGAACCAATAATTAAATAATCATTACAAGCAGCCTAAGGTAATTACATAGTTGGTTGCAAGACAATGCAACTTGTAATTAACTAAGTAACGATTTTTCCTTATTTTGATGAAGTAATGCATTATATTAGAATAAAAATTCATACACAATATTAGTATCCATTAAAAATTCATACTTTCCTTCATATTTACTGTCGGGCATCTATGAACTGTCAATAAATCATAAGAATCTGCATCAGTACCAGCTGTATGTGGTCCTGAGAAATGGCTGATGTAAACCAGAGTGAAAGTGTGTCATCACTCGGCATGTTTTGATGGTGTTCATGGAACGAGGGTCATACATGCTATGTTTGGCCTTCAAGCTGGTAAGACCATTTTTAGTCCTCCGTGTCCTCTACTGTGGTTAATGAACACTGGCCGTTTCCCTGATCTCTCTGCCATGCCAGAGGCTTAAAATACCCTCAGAGGAAAGGCCTGTTGATGGCCGCCTCTGATCCTGCTAATCAAATCCTCTACATGTTGGAAGATAACAAAAAGCACTCTGCTTTACTATCCTCTAACTAACAACATCAGAAGCATCTTTCCTTTTATCTGCTGTCCAGACCAAGGTCTAATAAATTTCATCTTCCAGAAAAGTACAACCATTTTCTTTTTCCTCCAACAAATTGGGCCATTTTTAATTCTTAAATCTGAACTTTTGCTCCTCTGTGTGTTACCACCATAGCTTATATCACGTGCCTCTCCAAATGGGCTAACAATACTTTTCTATTTGATTACATGGCCTAATAAAGTGGAATGAGTCTGGAGATGTTATCGACTGCAGTTAAAGGATTCATCACATACCTTTGTGCCTTTGAATTCAGTTTGAACAATGTTAAAGACCGAAACCCGAGGAGTTGTTCTTCCTGGATCGCCCTTCTGCTCTGCAAGCTGGATAGGAATCAATGGAAATTTCTGAGATTGTAACTCAATTCTGAAAGTATGCATTTCATATATAGAATATAATTCAACCCTTTGTTCTTCAGTTCTGTTACATGTCCTGCAGTATGTGTTAAAGGATCTTTCACCTTAATTTTTAGCATTTATAAAAATAATTGTAAAAAAAAGAAACAGAGAGTGAATATCTCCACCTGCACAATTCAATGCAAACGTATGCAATGCCATGTGTTTGTGCCCCCATGTTTGTGTAAAACAGACGACACAGTTAGGCAGTGTTGATCACTAAGAACTAAACTAAGAACGTGTTTAGGCCGACCGTAGTATTGTGTCAAAAAAATATTTTTTGATCTACCTATCAAATACTGTGGGAAAATTGCTGGTAAATTACTTTTTGGTGTGAATAGTGTGATTCTACAATTTTATCTCGTTAACACTGACTGTGTTTACATGTAAAAAAATATTCAGCCCTCATTGCAAAAAAAGAGAATATTCCCGCTAAGATGTTTACATGGCTAACGAGAATCAGGATTCCACTAATATTCACGTTTACATGCAGCCGTGCATATGTCTGGAGCCGCTTGAGCCATTTTGCTTTATTGCATCAAAATAGGAGGCAAACACAGCCTCCCTCTTTAGTTCAACCATCTTCTTGAAAAGGTCAGTTTTGAAATATTTGCACATATCCAAAAACCTGTTGATATCCATTTCTTTCATAATGTTTATGAGTATTCACTGTATACATGTCCAAAGAATGGTCTGAATAACATCCGGCATATCCCACATGTCTTAATCGGAAAATGCTACATTCGAGGTGAGGCCTAGTTCAAAATATCCAAACTGAATATGATGTTTACATCACCAGAAGAATGTTGACACGCTGAGGCAAAGGATAGCTCTCCAGAAACTGTTGTCTAATATTATAAACGGAAGTGCTCTGATAAACCCCAAACATCATGTATTTATCACCCAAACTAGACTTCCTGGATCATTTTTCATCTTCTTACTGGCATCTACAACAATACCAACACAGCCCCTTGCATCTTTTTAATGCAGTGCTATTTACTGAATGTCCGTTACCAGTTCATCATTAATTTATCCATGAAGTCTGTTAAGTAGTTTTTAAACTATCCTTCTAATCGTTATAATGACCAACAAAAAACACTACTCCTTAATGGAGGTTATGTACCAAGAAGGTAGTTCGGGTGTAATATATAAGACATCACTGACACAACAAAATAATAAACCCTACGGCTGTATTGCCACAAATAAAACTACACTTTTCCAGATACACAACAAACTTGCTGGTGTAATAAGCACCCACCCTCACACACGTATGTACTGCCTCTTCCACCACTGTGATAATTAAGTCCTCTGATTGCACTGTATTATGACAGAATTAATGAAGCTTTTAATGAAAATTAGTAACACTTGGCTGAGGCCCAGTGTATCAGACATGCTTAGCAGCAAGCTGCAGGAAGCGCAGTTAGATAAGCAGGGCAAGCCTCCAGCTCACTGAGACAGAACACAGACAGTGAAACTGTGCAGCTCCTGCGACTACCACGTCTCTGTACACACTCAAAATATCACAATGTAGGATCTACAGGGCAGCGCTTTACTGAGGCACTAATTATAATCTACTGTTTTGGTGCTCTAATTGTTCCAACTTCAGTCTAAGGGGGGAATAGTATTCGCCTAGGTAATCCTTGTTGGCTGGATGCCAGTGTAAATATCACTGCTGCATTTTAGAACCAACTTAGTGTTAAAATGTCAAACCTCTCATTTATCTCATGCAGTGTGAAATGATTTATTGTCAGTAAGGGCAATAAAACTTTCCCAAGATCCAACTCGGTCCAATGTGGGTGAAAAAAAACATGGTGGGGCTAGCTGTAAATGGCTGCTCTATTATCATTAGTCAATGATAATAACATTGTCACGCAAGGAAAAAGAAACAAACACATTTCCTATATGAATGAGGCATCATGCTGTCTTATTGCTGTGATGTGGGGTAAACAGATAATTTACAGCCAAGTCAAGAAGTAGTGGGATTAAGTGCTTTGTCATCCTGATCTTGTACAAGTAGTGTTCCAAGGTTGCTGCACTGATCTGTCTCTTACCCTTTGAATCCTCCATGAATAGCTCTGTGCCAGCCTGGCTGTAAGCACGGAGACTGCGTGGGACCCAATAAGTGCAAGTGCCACCCTGGTTTCACCGGCAAGACCTGCAATCAAGGTGAGCTCTCGCCTGGAACTCGTACCCATTATGAAAAAAAAAAGTTGTTACTTTGCAGTTGCACGCGATTATTTTATTTGTCATAGGGCAATTAAAAAAAAGAAAAAATGAATGGTCCTACTGAACACTCATGACTGGAAAGCCCGTCACCAAGGGACACACACAGGCCTGCTGACATGCCCTTGCCCTGAGTGATGGCAGGGTAATCATAGTTTATTGTGGCCAGGTCTCCACCGCACAACACCAGTGTATTACAGGTACCACTTACTCATGGAGCGGAAGCTGGTTTGCCACCGGCAGGCCATAGTGAGATGCTGTAATCACAAGGGGAGGAGGCGGAGAGAGAGAAAGAGAGAGCTGATTCAGCTGGAATGGAAATGAGTGGTGAGGCTATGTTGAATGATCCCAGAAGTGCATCCTCTCCTGTGAAGATAACATCTCAATTACTGACCTGAGATAACTCGGATTGGCTGAGTGCAACCAATGCTATTGAAAGTGTGCTTCAGTGTGTGTGTGGTGTGTGTGAGTTTTTGTGCATTTTCATCACTGACAGATTGGACATGTTGAAAAGCGTTAAAGCGTCCCAGTTAGCCGTAAGTTGACATGCATCCAAGCAGCCTGGAATTCATGCCCTAAGACAGGAATAGGATAGTGTATAATTAAAAACAAGGTTGAGTTGGTGGAGGAGGGGGGAGAGGTCGGGGTGGGGTGTTGAAATCCTTTCCGGAATGTTCCAAATGACTCATCCAGCATTTTGAGGCTATAGGTGGCTCCCGTCTGCCCGGCCAGACGGCTGCACTTTGTCTTAATCTGCAACAAAAGGGGAGAGGAAAAAGGATCTCCGTCCCATATCCAACTACAATAGACTCTGCTGCCAACCATTCAGACAGACTTATCTGACAAATGTGATTCCAAGACCTTTCAAGATGAAACTGTACTTTCAAGTGTCCATCGAACCCCCATTTGTCCAATAAGCTCTAGACATTTTACAGAGCTTACCATTTTATTCAGCTTTGAGTGGCAGATTTGCCCTTTCAGCCTATTTAGGTGGAGATAACCTTGGATTCTGTTTTGAGCTGGCACACGCTATGGAAACCAATTTAATTATTCAGAAGCCATAGATTAGATTTTCTCATTTAAATGCAGCCTCCGTTAAACATTGATTTGAGGTTTACTATTGATGTGCCAGGTTGCCAATGTTTTGAAGCATTCTAACACCCTGCCCCTCTGGAGCCCTACATTTATCTTGAAGACTCACCTGGAGGGGTGAAATAATTTGCCCAAAGCTGCTTCCCTGGTCTCCATGTTGCTAAAGGTCAAGTAGTCAGCCTGATGTACTGTAAAACATCATATGGCAATTTAGTGGAATCAACTAATCTTCTAGAATTAACTTAATGTAAATATATATAATTTAAAGTTAATTAAACTTAGAATTTCAAATTTTTGAGCATGACTCTTTTGATTTTAGGTGATTAGTTCAACAAGTTCACTGAATTCATTAAATTAATGTGAATAAAGAAGCATGTTCAGCACATCAGCAACAGAGTTCCCAGCCCGCATTGTCTGTTTTGTAGTGTGAAGAAAAAAAGACACAATGAAAAATTGCTTTGATATATGTCTTTAATGTATGTCTTTATATATTAAGTCACAACTGTCCCTTATTATAATAATGAAACCAATGTGAACCATGATGAAAGTTTGTATCCAATTCAGTTCCTTTCCCACTTTAAACCGAAAACTCAAATTTAATTCAGTCAACTGCCATTTGTAGGGCAGTAGGGAAAATATTGTTTTTAAGTTGAACTACCTTAACATGTTTTAAATTGTAGCTTTTAAATCACGTAATGATTGGTACATTTTGTGCATTATAATGTCTCCAAGGAAGGTGCCTAATGAGTAGTGGAAATTGAAATATAATAATGCAGACTTACTGTATATAAACCTGCACGCACAGAGAGACGCACAGAGAGATATGTATTTTGCATGCACACACAAATGGTCACACATTCCTCCTCTCTATATCTGGGAGGTGTGGACAGATGTGTGACCCTGGAGGCACTCTGGCTAACAAGAGTGTTAAACACCTTTGGGACACGGGATGTATGGAGCAAAAACAAACCGCAGAGGAAACATGAGTGTTTACAATAAGAAGAAACATGGCAGATACTGTACCGTATTGACTTCATCACTCTCAGCATCATAGCCATATTTTCCTCTGTCAAATCTTTGTGAGCTGGTACCGTAATGAGAAATTTATACCTCATGGACTAGATCTCTGTTTTTAGTGCCAACTATTTTACCTGCCAAATCATTTCACCTTGGTGTTTGCTTTCATTACTTTTCCTATATAAACAAATCTCAAAACCTGAATGGGATATCATTTGAATGGATCTGATTATGTTCATCATTAAATTAAGAGGCACTCATCTGTTAAGAATAATAAGCACTACTTTGAGAATCCGTATCATTTTCAGAAGGTGCTTCACCTTTGGTGCTGATGAGAATTGTATCTGTCATACAGATACGCTTTTGTTGCAGAAATAAACTCATTAAAGGGATAATCTGTTTAACAGTTTGGCAGCAGAATCCCCCCGCTGATCCAATCATTTTAATAAGATGATTATTCCGTGCAGGTGGATTTAATTAGGTGTAGTTGACCTGCTGTTAAGACACTATTAAAATATTTCGGAATGACGTTTCAGACATTAGAAGCAATACAGCTGCAGTGCCTCCAGATGCTGCTTTCTTCTTTTCCCTCATTGTCTGACAGCCAACTATATAATTAATACCACTTGAAGTATTATAGTCTTGCACTGTGGTTAAAGAAAGTATACTGGATCTGTTTTTAGAATATTAGCCAATATCTGGACCTTTCACTGCTTTATCTTGGCAAATCCACATTGCTGTCTCGGAAAATGTTATTACTTCCACTAATCTTCTCATGAATTTAATTCAGTCTAGGTGTAGACAGATACTTTAGGGTTGTTGGTTTAGAAGCAGATCCCTCTCTGTTACTGTTTGTCTTCCTGGCTGTCTGCTGTTAACGGTCAAACATACAGCTGCAAGTATTTTAAGAATTGCATGTATGTCATCAAACTGTGTATTTTCCTTCAATTATCGACTAATTACTCCAAATTGTATTTGTTTTATCTATGTTCCATTTTGTAACAAGGTCATTAAAGGGGTATGAAGTAATGTTTGACTTTAACAGACCTCTATAAGTAGGATGTAGGAACTGGAATAAAAAGATATGTGAAATATAAAGTCACATTTCCACTGTAAAGATGAGTAAGCAAGTAAGTTACTTCCAAGGTTGAACAAAAAATATGAAGAGGCAACATATTTCAATATAAAACACTATGGCAGTATGACTGTATGTCCTCATTACCAGGTGCTTGCTTTGTAGGACAGTCCTCTGTTACTGAGCCAATGAAAAGTCACGTAGAATGGCAGGAAGGTGTTACATGACTACAGGCCAAATTTTAAAGGAGCATTAAAATCTCAGCACCTGGCCAAGTGGTTGTTGAGATCAGATCAATAATGCCATCCACCGCCTGCAGATTCTTTGAGGTTATTTTGTGTTATCACAGAGCAAAAAACTCGCCCTGTTAAATGAATATGTCAACATACTTGACTGTTCTCTATGCTGTCTATTTTACTATGGCTGCAAACTGTCGTAGAATTCAGCTAACAATAGGCGTTCAGCGCCGTCTGCTTTTTACTATGTTATTATTTATGCCACATAATGTACTTTTTTGTCCCATGTTTATCAGTCTCAGATCAGATAATCATGCAGAATTTGTCTCTGGGGGAGATTTGTAGCACGATACCGAAGCCCCATGTTCCAGTAAAACTACCCTGTCTTGCAATTTCACATGATTTATAGATTTATTGTCCAGCATATGTATGTGAATATGGATTTACAGACTATAAAGTTGAATAGCACACCTATTTTGCACGCCTAAAAAACATTTGCTTTGGAAGAAAGACAAACTCTTATTAGACAGTGCTGCACTTGTTAGATAATTCTCTCATTGAATTATTAATTTTGGCTACTAAAATGTCTTACACTAATATCCATCCATGGTGCCTATTTGCAGATAAATATTTGTGTCCGCAGAAGAGTTGGCAAGAGTGCAGTAGGCTTGCATAACTTCTCAATTTAGTTACTGCATCCCTCTATAGGGAAAAGCTTCAATGATTTGAAGTGTGCAAAACATTCAGAGGTCGCTGTATCATCCTCCTGTCACTTAACAATAGGTGTTGTTAGCTTACTGCCGGAGGAAACGTTGCTGAATGGGTGGACAGAAAGGGGAGGGGCTGAAATTCTAGAGGCTGAACTGTTTATAGTCAAGCAATGATTTGCCTCTTTAAATGGTAACTCCTGTCTACCTTTGAACCTCCAGATACAAATTGAGAAGGGATCCATTGAATCCGTGAGATACTGTAATTCTCTCAGATCCTATTTCATCCTCATGACAAGAAAGGAAAGTAGAAGAGAGGAGAGAGCAGAAGCAGAAGGGACATATACACATAACACTTTCACTGTTTCTCCCATGTGCCCTAGAATTTTTTTTTTCTGATACGGCGCTCATGTCCAATTCCCACAAGTGTAATCCTCTTTGCTGCATAATGTTCCTCTTTACTTTCCAGGAATGTGGTGTGGTCAGAGGTGTTCTAATCCATTGGTTGGTGCTTTTCATTCTCACTACATTGCTCTCTCTCTCTCTCTCTCTCTCTCTCTCTCTCTCTTTCCGTCCTTCTTTCTCTCTTCTTCCTCCACCATTTACAACTTTATCTTCAATCAAACCCCTTCCCCTTCACTCCCCCCATGCCCTCTAACCTACTTCCTTTTGTCTAAAGAAGAAGAGCTGGACTATTTAACCCCACCATTGTGGGCCAGTCACCTTCCTATCTTTCTTCCTGTGGACCATCAGCCAGCAAGAGGTGCGATGGAGGGTGAGATTCTTCGATCGACCTCCCCATCTCAGCAACATGCATGGTGCTGCACAGTGCGGACTCAGGAGGAGTGAATGTCATTCTCAACTACTTTCTTACTGCTTCCTCTCCTTCCCTTGGCAGAAGAGACACCACCTGAGAGCAGCTTTTCAGTAGAAGTACCAGCATGAATGCCAAGCATGTCACAATCTTTACCACTCTACATCTGCCTCTGTTTTGTTTCACTCCAAGTTTCTCAGCACCAATGAGCCGTCATGATTTTGCCTCATTGCTCTGCCTCCTTCGCCTCTCTCATTTTCCCTTTTTTTTTTTTTTACACCTGGAACAAAGAGCTCCTCCTTCCCTTTAAAACCATCATTGACATGGACTCAGCACTCATGACTCCTCCATCGCTACTAGAACAAGGTTTTAAGTTATAACCAAGTTTTATCTTCTTTAGAGACAAGCATATTCCCAATGAAGAGCCCTCTGCTAATCTCTCTGTCAGTGATAGAGGCGTGTCGGGAATGTAGCATAGCATTCCACTGTAGAGCTGACCCAATAAATCACTCCACTTTGCATCACTTCAGGTGCGTCTTAGCAGTTCATTTACAGTACAGTGAACACCCCAGAGGGGCTTTCCACCTCTGCTGTCGCACAGGTTTCTGGAGTCCTGGGGCTGTGTCGAACTGTCTGTTGGTGGTCATATCTGTCTGTTATCTTTCAATTTTTTCCATCTCCCTGTGTCCTCTCTCAGTCTTCTCTCCACCTTGTCTGTTTTATGCCTAGTTAGAGGAGGCCCTGGCTGTGCCTTATGTCTAGCATGTGCTGATGCTCAAGGAGCTGCCTCTGTCTGAGAATGTGACCATTTCAATAATCCCTCATTTACATTTCTAGGCTGCTTTTCAGTGCAGCAGGCAACTGGAGACCTGTTTCTCTGCCATGCTGACAATGGACAGTGTTGCTATGGTTTTCTGTAAGCGCAGTAATGAGAATGCCAGTTGTTTACTGTGAAAACCAGGGAGGAAAACAAGGTTGACACCGCTAATTAAAAAAGTGAAAAGTGAAGATGGGAGTGTGTGTGTGTGTGTGTGTGTGTGTGTGTGTGCTTTTCTGTGTGCAGGTGTGAACAGCCTAAGCCTTCTGTCTGAAGGACAGGTCAAATCTTTTTGACTTAGTTTTGACATAGAATTAAGAAGTATTTTTTTCCAACAGGTTTTTAAAAAAGGCTTTTAAAAGGCACTGTAGCCCTGATTATGTGTTTGCAATTTCAGCATTTATTTTGGCACAACATTCCACCTGCATTTCTGCCTGCTTAAATAACCTCTTTTTGCAAGCACAAATACAAACACAAAATGATATGGGTTTAGCTGCAAGAGGCAAACACACAGATCCAAAGTTTGCATTTGGATTTCGCTCTATATTTTCATTCAATAATTTCTACTATAATCTACTGATAAATTTAGATCATAGCCATAATCAAATAACATTTAGCTTGCTTGGCCCCACGTGTCCACATTTAGTAGGACAATTCATGTTCATGCTACTCTTATTTGTATTCTCATATTCAATGAAAGTAACTCTATAAATGTTTTACTATAACAGCCCTCATGTAACAACTGCTTTTACAAACTGACTCCTATACAGTATCTCACAAAAGTGAATACACTCCTCACATTTTGTAAATATTTGATTCTATCTTTTTATGTGACAACACTGTATATTCATAAGAATGTAAAGTTATGAAACATGACTTAAAGCCTTGTGGCACATTCCAGCCACCTCTATTCACTCAGCCAACAGGGGTCTAGTAAGCCTGATGCTACCATTAATAGAAGGTGGAGTCTGTGGATATACAAACTGGGCATCTGCTCCATCATTCATCTAAATTAATCTATGGTATCTGTTAAATGTAGGAGGTATGTGGCACTCAAAGAATGCACCCTGCATATGTTCACGGAGCTAAACACGGCAACATTTACAATGCGGCCGGCCAAGATGAAAATGACCCTCATGTGCTGTACAGTGAGATGAAGTCTATTCGCGATAGTTCTACTGTAGCCCAGAAACAGGGGTGATTCATAGTTTGAGTTATTTATATTTCTTGGCACCTGTGTCATCATTCCAGTGTGATGGAGCCCTGTGTAGTTTCAAGTTGGGTTTTCCCCTTTTGGGCCTGGTACTCCGAAGGGACCCCACATTTAGAAGAAATATGTGTGATTTTAGCCAATTGAAATATTCACTCTCATCAATGGCCATAGTTCCCAGTCAGCAACCATTAAACCCTACCTACATGCGCATTAAAAAGTAATTAATTATCAGCAGACCTCCCTATACTAAAGTTACTGAAACAAAGCCAGGAGTGGCCTTAAATTCTTTTAGCCATTCATAATCTCAGCCTTGATGTAAATTGAAAGAATTGAAAACATCCAGCAACATGCTCAAAGGAACGTTCATATTAAAGAAATTATAATTGATAGCAGCTACAGTATGATTGTTGTCTGAGATGTGAGCAACATCAACTGTTTCTCTGAGAATCACTACGGGGAAATTTGGCTTATGTGAATGCTTACAGGTTGTAAAAGTAATTTCCTACCCTCAGAGCCTGCTGATTTCATGACATTTACCCAACATTGCAGTTGGAAAGATTGCTAGAATATCCTACGGAAGTAGAAGTAAAAGTAAGACATAAGAATACATTTTAAAACCTACTCAAGAGATGGGGCCAAGAAGAGGGTGAAATGGTAACCACAACCAGTTTAGTATGAAACATGTCTCACCATCCAGTCCCTCTTCAAATCAGTTCTGCTCTGCAACAGTAGTGACATTAACGTCTTTATGAGAAAACCTAATCTGCTTTAGGAGAAAAAAAGAGGTTTGAAACAAACTGAAATAAAAAATCTTCCTCTCTGTGTCAGAACAGCATAACCCAAGGCTTCTCTATAATCCCTCTCTTTATTAAAGTGCAAAGGGAGAATCAAGTATCTACTTAAGTAATCATTCAGTGTACTCAAATAGAACAAATACACAACAAAGATTCTCAATTACTATGATCAATATTCTAGTAAGAACAATGTGCATCTACAATGCATATTGGTCTTTTCCATAGCATATATTTTGACTTTGTCCAAGTAGGAAGAGCAAGTGTAACTAGTAACATTTCAGTCAGGATACTAACGTCAAGTTTTAACCATTTATTTCAACATGACATGCATTTTAGTTATAACTCTGCAATGTGTGACGCTCTGGTGAAAAGCTTAAGCCAGCTTGAACAGACTGTCCCTGAGCTATTATATATATTTGAGAAAAAAAACAACACCTAATAGTAATGCTGGGCGATGCTAGGGAGGCGGAGGGAAGTAGATTACAGGCAGCAAGTAATGTACATATGGACTATATGAAATGTAATATATGGACCGTCTGAATGAAAGGTGACGTCATGGACATGATAATTGGACAGTAAATATGTGTGAGAATATGTGACTATAAAAGGATTTCTATCCCTGCCTGATTTTTTTTTGCAAGGCTACGTTAATAACAGCTTTGTTTGATTTAAATCTCCCAGTACACTACCATGCACAATATCAGGTCCTTGAATCCATCACACACAATGGAATACAGTCATTTATTAATGTCATTGGCTACAACTGTGTGTAAAACTGTCTGCTGGGAAAAAAAGGAAATAGAGCTATCTAACTCTTTTTGTTTGTTTATTGTACAGTTTGAATGCGTTGTTATAAAATCCTCTACAGCAAGATTAAAGCAAAGCGCATTTTGTTAATTCGGGCCCAATAGACCTTTTTTACAGTGGATGTTTGGACTTGTTATTATGGAAAAAGCACAGGTGTACCTAATAACAGTAATGATGGCTCTGTTCCATTTAGGTATGCCAGTGAGCCAGGACGCACACTACTATGGCCAATAATTTTTTAGAACCCCTAAATGTAATGTGGACATCAATAATATTATTTCTTACCTTTGTGCATTTAATACTATGTCATGTCCAAATATCTGCCATAAAGAGTTATCAAGCTCTTATTGGTTGGTTTCCTACAATTTGGAGTCTACAGTAAGAAATAAACATGTTTATTTCAGCTTATAGGCATTTTGATGAAATACTCTTGTCATAGCAGGAAGTATGCAGGTGTAACTAATAACATTAATGGTGTCTCTGTTTCATTTAGTAATGTCAGTAAGTTATTCCAGGGAGGTAACATGCACAGCACCAGGGTCCTGCGACTGAGATACCTCTGGGCTGTGGGATGCAGACGTGAATAATGTTATTAGTTATACCTGAGCATTTCCTGCTATGACATGTCAAAATCTCTGCCATTATAAAGGGCTATGTAGCTCTTGGTTAGTTGGTTTGCCCCAGTTTGAATGTTTTGGACGTCACTTTACTTTAGTTACAATCCTTAAAACAAGATTTAGGTGGAATCTACAGTAGGAAGAAATAAACATAAACATATTTATTTAACTTAGCCAGTATAAGCCCTTCACATGGAGGACATTTTGGCGTGTCACTGCAGGAAGTACACAGGTGTAACTAATAACATTAATGGTGTGTGTGCTGCATTTGGGAGTGTCAGTACATCAATCCAGTGAGCCAGCATACACAACACCACGGCCCTGCGACTGAAATGCATAAATGAAATGCAGACATTAATAATGTTATTAGTTACACCTGTTTTTGACTAGTCAAAATGTCTGCTGTAAAAAGGGTATAATGACTTAAATTTGAACGAGCATTTGACAGTTGTTAAGCTCAGGGCAATTTCCTTTCTCCCAGGAGCTCTAAGTCAGACAGCATCATTTTCAAATAAGATTTTCATGGGCTGTTGTGGCTGAGATTCTCTACTTTTATGTCTGCATAAAAACACTGGAATTATATGTACCTATTAAAGAGTGCTGGATGGTGCAGCTACAGCCTCATGAAGTTGTGGTGAGTCAGAGGATATAATAGCATCTTTTATCACTTGCAGGTAATGGGCAGGTTGACAGTTGACACTGGCTTCCTGTTAAATCATCAAAGTGGGAAGTTGCAGGCTTGTCAGAACATGGCAACACATCACTTCCTCGAAGACACCACCACCACCTCTTCCAAAACACACACATTAGCACACACACAGACAGACAGACACCCTAAACCCAAACATAAATGGATGGGTGAGGTTTGACATGATTGACCTCTTCACCTTTGCTGTCTGACTAATTTCACCTCTGTGTAGGAGGGTCTCTCTCTCTGCCCTCCGGTCCACTTATGCTGTCTCTCTCTGTCTGCAGACCTGAATGAATGTGGGCTGAAGCCGAGGCCTTGTAAACACAGGTGCATGAACACATACGGGAGTTACAAGTGCTACTGCCTCAACGGATACATGCTGATGCCTGACGGGACCTGTGGAAGTGAGTCTGTCTCTCACAAACACAAACACACACACACACACACACACACACACACACACACACACACACACACACACACACATCTTTGTGATTGTACACATTGTTTGTATTGTCTGAAATGTGGATATTTTTAGTCCTCCTTTCTTCTCTCCCTCATCTGCTTTTCTTGTCATAATCTCTCATGTGCTCTGTAGTCTGGATGTGCTACTGTGAAGCATTTCTTCGCTCCACTACAAATGTATTCATCTGAAAGCCTGCGCAAGGCAGTGCTGATGACATATGCTCTCTATTATAAAATACATTTCCGCACTCGTGAGTACCTCTGACAGCAGCCCCACAATCCTTCTGATTAAAGCACCGTGTTGATCTGCTTTAATATAGCAGCTCTACAGTTTGAAGAACCCTAAGAGGGCTAAAATGAAAAATTTGAAAGAAACACAATCTTTAGACCCTTGAGTGAATGTGCAGTTCTTATTGGTTGCCCTGAGGTATTTCATAGAATGGGAGTTGATGTCTGTACATGTCTCCCTGTAAATTCTGTTTCCCATCTGATATTTTCTCCTCACGTTTTCACTCGAGGATGGCGTGACTCCCAGTAACTCATTTTAATTAGTTCTTTTTTATCAGATGAAAATTAATTCCCACCCCTTTAAAGTCTGAATTGCTCACCACTTGAGGCAATCTCAAACTATTCTAGGTGTTGTTGCGTGATGATAGCATGATGTTAAACACCTTGCCACTCTTTTCTCACCTTGCTACTGCTTTGATCAATAGATCACTGCAGCATTTAATCAGCCCCGGCCTACCTTAGTCATCAAACTGTGCTCCAGGGTGCCTGCAGCAGCTGAAGTGGCAGCAGCATGAGCCTCACTTTTAATTTCCTTTTAGGGTCCAAAGTTATTGAAAGAGGCTGAACAAAATCTGTTCCATTATATTATTATTTTGGAGGGTCTTGATCTGCCCTGGTGCGGCTCAACAACAGAGGTGCTGCACGCTGGCGTTTCGATGCAGTAGATATGGATTATGAGTCTTTAGGTGTAGGAAAGATGAAAGTGGGTGAGAGAGGATTGCGTGGGCTATGGTGTGAGCACAGAGCGACTGTGCAGCACAGGAATCTAATAATGGCAGAGTGTGTGCTGTTCTGTTGTCTGCACCCCAGGGTCAGCTCGGCAAATATCAGAAAAAGGCAGGCGAGTGGCCTGGCTCTTACACACTGGCTGGAGGATAAGGATAAAGTAAGAGTGTAGATGTGTGAAGGAAAGAAAGTGAGTGTGAGAGCTGTATAAACTGTTCCCCTCTCTCCCTTGTGGCACCAGCATGTGTTAATATATGTGTTGCGTTTCCCTTGTGTCCATCAGACGCTCGCACTTGTGGCATGGCCAACTGCCAGTACGGCTGCGAGGTGCTGAAAGGAGAGGTCCGATGTCAGTGTCCGTCGCCGGGGCTACAGCTGGCTTCTGATGGAAGAACCTGTGTGGGTACGTCACAGTCTTTATATATCGTCACTGGCATGAAAACTAAGCCTTATGTTACCACTCCCTTCCATGAGCAACTGATGTAAAGCATCACAAACAAGAATGTTTTATTTATTTTTTTATGTGTTCTTCTCAGCCTTTAAATTTGCTGAGTGATAATCATATGCAACTGTTTTGGCAGAGCCAGAATGAAAACTTGGCAGGAAAAATGCTATTTGGGAATTCAGACAAAACCTTTTAGCAAGTAAAGCTGAAATTCATCCAAAATATTTAACAATATGTCTCTTTTGCTTTGATCAAGGACCCTGGCAATTTAACAGTCCCTGTCAACCAAATGGTGACTTCATTTCCACTTGCTTCCTCCAGCTTTTACAGCAGAAATGTGATCAGGGAAAGCCCACCCCCCTACTCCTCCTATCCTCCCCCCCTGCTTTCATTACGTGCCACAGCTCCTCAGATGGGTAGCTAACAGATGAAGGGGCCAGTTGAGGCAGTTAACCTGTGTCAGGTTTAAATACAGGCTCTTTCTGACTGGACTGTTCCTGTTGATGCCTTACAGCCCCACTTAACTGCATGCTTGCTAATGGGGGGGCGGATTTCTAAAACAAGACAGACATCAATCATGAAAAATGATGGAGGAGAGGAAGGAAAGATTGCCTGCCACAGGTGTTACGACAGTTTAATGGAATGTTTCCGCATCACTCGGGAAGCTGATTTTTTATGGAGAGTTTTATGGTCAGTTTCTAATCATATTTATGGAGGTGATTCCTTCTAGTAACCACTGCATTAGATGTGAGAGTTTGCTTAGATGCAGAGCGTTTTTTATTCATTATGATGCTGTGAAATCAAATATGTAAACGCAGTTTTGTCGTAGCTTTAAGGGTGACCTGGGCCCATATTCTAACATATTCTATTCAAACTTCTAAAAACTATGCTTTCAGCAAAAGTGTAAAGGTACAGTCACATTACATTTCCGGCCTACTCATTGCTCCGTCTCCTTTTCACTCCTATTGAAGAACGTATGATGGACAGTGTTGGGCAAGTTACTCAGAAATTATAATAAGTTACTAGTTATTTATTACTCCTTAACGTAATAATATTACTTTACATATTACTGGGTGAAAAAACTAACTACTTACTTTACTGTATTACTTTCACCACCTCCCCTCCCCGAAACAAAGCAGTCTCTCCTGACTTTTTAACTAACTTAATGTCATATTCATAACAGCAGAAGGAGTTTTTACAAAACATATATTTTTTAACTCCAACCGCTGTAATACAACAATAAATACTGTTTTTCTGCACATATATTTATAAGAGCAGTATTCAGTATTTTTACAAAACGTTACGTTGCTTAACATCACTCTCTCCCGACGAGTGCAAGCATCACTGGCAGGAGTTTCTTTCTACAAGTCTCACATTGCTGTGCTGCTTCAGTAGATGCTGCAATAAATGCGGTTGAAAGCTTGTTGCTGGTCACACAAAGTTTACAACAGACACCAATGTTCTTTGCATCTTAGACTGTGACACAATAATGGTGATACTTACAGCTGTGGAAAGAACACCTCTCTCCCCCATTTTCCATACTTCCTTAAGCTTCTTGGCTAACATCAGACTTGAACAAGATATGGTCCGGTGCCGCTGACCTGCAGCACAGTTGCGCATTCACGTCAAGGATGGCAAAACATGTCTTAGAAGGGGTGTGCTCGCCTCTGTCTCTGTCCTGAAGTCATCTAGAATCTACTTCTACCAACTGCTGGAGCTCTCATTAGGAAGCCATGTCCTTATCACTTACGGAAGCAAAGTCCTAAGGGCTTCTATTTTTTTGTAACTAGGAATGAAAGGGAAGACTGTTTACTTTTATCTTTCACTAAAATGTAGGCCCCAATGTTTAACTACATAACTTTTGGTTAACTGGATTTATAATTTGATGTGAAATTTAGTCTGTTTTAAATTTTGAGTAGCACTTTATTATAACTACACACTATAAAGCATTAGTTAAGTATTAGCAAATGCGGAATTCATCATTTATAAAGCATTATTCATACATTAATACACATTAGTAAGTCATTCATAAACAGTTATAAATGTTTTATTCACACTATGAAGCAGTTGTTAAGTATTAGTACATCTTAACTTGTAAATCTACAAGTGGCAAAGCCCAAAGGATGCTGCTAAGACTACCCGAAAGATGTCCCAGCTAACTGTACTGGGTAAAAGCCTCACCGTTACAGGCCTGGTACCGTTTCTCTGAACTCCTCATTAAAACTCCAAGATCTGCCCTTCCAGAGATCTGCTGTGATGGGACCAGCAAAGGTTTGCTTGGATGGTCCGTTTAAAGACACCAATCTTACTCCCCCCCCCCAATGCTTTGATCAACCGCTAACTTGACATGACAATAGAAATGGTCTAATAGTGCGTGTTCATAGATGTTTTATGACACTTAATGATATTGCAATTCATGATTAATTCTGGTAGTTACTAATGGTTAGTAAAGTATTTTGCGTGAGCTCATCTAAAGTGAGGATTATCTATGTCTTACAAAGCATTTCCAAATGATATTGTAACACACAAGAATCAGTTATCTTCTTAATAGAAAAATGAAACGGACACAACACAAAGGTATACAGAACATGTTATTTATTACAAAATGCCTTTCACCCATTCATTCATTAAAAAAACACATCAACAATACGAGAGACTATTGCTACATAAACTGTACAACTGTTGATATAAAATTAACCATCTACAATCCAACCCCTTCTCACTCCCAAGTCGTCACATATGGACCAATGGTCAAGACCCCTTGTTGTTCACTTTATAACGCACTTGGGAGCCCCTTAGTGTCATAGTTCAACATACTGGGGAAAGCCCTGTAGCATAGTTTTTGAATGCTAAAGACAGGTGTAGAATATTTAACACTAGTGTAGCACTAGCTAATTTACCAACCTAGGTTCTGAGAAGTAGTGTTGGGGTAAGAAATAGACTGTGTGTGATTAAAGAACAATGGGCAGGTTTATTACAGTGCCTTTAACACTCTCATAGTGCACCAGCCATGTTTGAAATAATCCCCAGAATAAGAAGAGCTCTTTCATAAAAAATACAATTTTAAAAAGTGTCCAGTATCTTTCAGTAATTTGTATCTCTACCTGGGCAGGATAATGAATGTGTGGTGGATCTTTCTTCTCTGCCAGTGTCCTGTAATCTGATGTGTCAGTCCTGTTGAATGGGATCCGAAGCAGCTGGCCACACCGCGGTGCAATTAATGTGTATTAATGTATGAATAATGCTTTATAAATGATGAATTACGTATTTACTAATACTTAACTAATGCTTTATAGTGTGTAGTTATTATAAAGTGCTACCGCTATGATAAATGAAAAATAATAATGCTTTCAAGAGACTGTGCACCATTTTTTTTGTGTACTTAAAATGGATTAGGCCAGAAATCTGAGAGATGATGATCAACTGGAAGGAAGTATTGACTTGTTTTTTATGCGCTGTGACAGAACTGCCACAAAACCCTCTAATGGCAAGTGTATTGATGTTTTTACATTGTTGCAGAAGTTCATATGAGATGGCTTCATATTATAATGATGCCTCTCATAGAAATTGCTTAATATATCACAAAAGTTGTCAAGTAAAACCCAATTGCAGAGCTTAATATTGGCTGACATATACTTAACTGTCAACATGGGTTTAAATCTGATCCTTAAGATTTGCTAATTTGGAAGAAAAATCAAAGTTGTCTTCAAAGCCAGTTGTAAACATTTGCAAGAAATAATATATTCATGTGTGCATGTGTGTATTATGTAAAACATAATAATTTACTAACTGAATAATTCAGCTAGGGTTTTCGAATGTTGGCCATTAGGCAGCTCTACTGGAGCAGTTTGGGTATAAGTGCCTTGCTGATGAGAACCTCAACAGTAGGTGTTAAGGGATGAGAGCGTTCTACCCACTTACTTCACTTGCTTGTTTATCCAGCTGTTCCAGGTGTCTCTGTGTTTTTAAAGTCCTTTAACAAAAGTCCCTGTGGCTCCACAGTGTCTCAGCTACATTATGCAGCAAATAAATTAATGATTGTAAGGCACATGCTTTGAGCCTCTGGGTCTAAATATTAATGGCCACATGCCTGAAAAGGTGATCAACAGAGACACTTAGAATAGGTCTTTAAATAATGAAACAAGGTAGTGTGCATTGTATTCTGCTCACTGAACAGAATACATAATGTGCTTTGTTCATAAATGAATACTAACCAGGGAAGGTGAAAAAGCCTTCTGGTATGAAAAGAAATGTTTGTTTAGTTGAATTAAATTGCCTTTTTTGACCTTGAAGTTTTTCCATTGCATTGTGTTATTTTGAATGCCTTATATACTGTATGTGGCCAAGTCTAAAAGGGATTTTTAGTGAAACATTATGAATACATTATGCTTTAATTTGAATATTTTCTTCTGTGGAATAACCTGTATCTATTTTTCTCTTGCAGATGTGGATGAGTGTGCAGCAGGAATTGCAGTGTGTCCTAGGTTCAGGAAATGCATTAACACCTTTGGTAGCTACATCTGCAAGTGCCACGAAGGCTTTGACCTGCAATATGTCAATGGGAAATACCAATGCATAGGTACTTTCTCAAGGTCTCAACAGTGAGGCTCTTTACAGACAAAACTTACAATGGTCATAGATGTGCTGAGATGCTTTGACTTATAACCAAGTTTTTTTAGTGATGCATGTGTTGATTTTTACTTTATACACTTTATTTTTTACTCCACTACATTTAATTGAAAGCTAGTTACTAGTTACTTAGCAGATTAAGAAAACACATGCAGCGTTTCTGAAATATGATGTATTATTCTAGATGAATCTACGCAGCGGTGTAAATGCATTCGTAATAATAATGGATAAACGATATGGTAACCCTAGTTGTATAAGCACAGACGGAGCCCTCTTCTGGACTCTATAGGTAGTACCCATAGAGTCCAGTAGAGGGCGAAGCCTGTGTGAGATACGATACGGTAACCCTAGTTCTATAAGCACAGGCTCCGCCCTCTACCGATGAGCCCTGCCGCTCTGACGCACGCCATCTGCTGAAGAGGCGGTCGGAAGCTGAGGCAGTAGGGACACTGCTATTTATAAGTCACGCACGTATCGGTAGCGACGTCCTGTTAGTCGGCTTTGTGCACGATAAAATTTCAGTGGGCAAGTGCGTGCGTGTGATTGGAGGAGGTAGTACCCATAGAGTCCAGTAGAGGGCGGAGCCTGAGATAGAACAAAGGTTACGATATGGTAACCCTAGTTCTATAAGCACAGGCTCCACCCTCTACTGGACTCTATGGGTACTACCTATAGAGAACACAGAAAGGAGCCATTTTGCATGGTTAGTGCTGTGACTTTTAATACTTTAAATACTTTGTAGATAATATTTAATTCTAATTAAAGCTGGTGCCAACTACTTTTTAAGAAGTTCTACCCTGGATCTACATCTACAATTACATATAGTACAGTATAGCACTGATTAGGAAAATGTATTTAAAATCAGAATAGACAAATGTCTCATGAAGCACTTTTTTACATTTAGAAAGAACTCTGTAGTTGAAGTATGAAGTAATATAGGAGGAACTGAAACCACTTAAAAAAACTTCACATTAATGAGCTATCACTAAACCACTGCAGAACATATTCGCACTGCTGGTTCTGATTCATGTTTTTGTTCTTGCTGTGCACTTGATATACACCATACTTGATCAATATCTGCCATCTTTAATTTTAATCAATAGTGTACATGAATCCACTTGGCTACCTTGAATGTTAGCAGCATTTGGAAAATACACCATCTTTCATTAATTTTTTTCAGTGAATGAGCAGTGATAGCTTGGCAGTTGCTCCTAAAATGCTTCAAAGACCTTGTATATTTTTTTTACCAAACAGCTCTCATAATAGTTTTGCTCTGGCATTCAGAGGGATCACTGTTATTCACTTAAACGCTTTCACTTACAGTTTGTGCAACATAAACTTTGAACTCTCCTTGAAGTGGATGTGAAGCAATTAGCCTTTAATATTCTGCTGTTATGTCTGAAGCTTTTTACACTTGCACCCGGTAGCTGAATGTTGTTATCTTTCAATTATCTTTCAGATGTGGATGAGTGCTCTTTAAGTCAAAGCCACTGCAGCAGTTTTGCCACCTGCTACAACACGCCGGGCTCATACAAGTGCAAATGCAAAGACGGCTACAGGGGGATGGGCCACGACTGCAAACGTAAGAATTTAGAACAAAACCCTGTCCCTGATACATACTCTGGATGGGGGAATGGGGCCTCCCATTTTTTGTTTTCTTTACCTGTGTTTTTAAGAAGGCAGGAAAGCAAGAAAGCGGGAGGAATAGCCCTGCAAGCACAGAGCCAAGACTAAAATTCCTTTCTTTGTAATGGCTGTCAGTCTTTACTTAAATCACCCTGCTCCCTTATCACATGTGTCCAGAGTGGCCATTTTAATTAGCCAAAATTGGGAAACATCATCAAATCTTTCCTGGTCATTTGTTTGTCTCGTTTTACTTGCTGACACACACTAGTTCATTTATCTGTGCGTCTGCAGTTTTTACAGCAGCTAGGTGGACAAGAAGTCATTTATTCTCCACAGTTATTTAATCATTTAGCAGACACAACTGGTGTAACAGTCCATAGAGCAGAGAAGATGTGCTACAAATACCTCACCCTGTGGCCTGCCCAAGGGGTGTGCTCTAGGAGTCGAGTTGCAATATCCTATTTGTGTATCACACATCAAAGTCGCCTGCAACCGGAGAAGGCTATAACTGAGTTCAAACCACTTGCTTTTGTCCACTCCTATTCCTCACTCATGAAACCCTCATGAAGCCCCCCCCTCCCCACCCCACCCACTATCACATCACACCAGCCCCCCAGTCTCTGTCTCTGCTCCTGACGTGAAGAATGTGTGGAGGAACAAAGGAAAAGGAGGTTCAACTTTGATGACATCAGCAGAGCGAGGGTGATCTCCAGGGCACAGCAGCCTGTTTGAGCGCAGAGATCATTCCACACACAGAGAGCAGCTTTAGCCTGATGCTGCGAGGCCTCTGGCTATACGCACACACAGAATTGCTAATCAGGACGAGTACATGAACAGATAAAAGGCCACCGTCAGAAAGCAATATACAATTATAAAAAGCAGAAATTCACTTAAAGTCAGTGTCTTTGTGGATTAGTTTGTGAGTGCACATGTCATGTAACCACAAAGCCTTCCCCCTTTATCTCTTTTAATACTCCCATTGAGGAAAAGATGTCCACAATTATCTTAAAAAGTCACCCAAAATAACTGAACGTGAACTTCACAGCAAGCTGATTTTATGGGCCTCTCTTGCAAGTTTGAGCTTTTGCTTCAGTGAGATTTGAGACTCCCCATTTGTTTTAGGATGCTAACATTTAGTTAATAGATATCAGAAGAAGTCTCAGTAGATCAAAGAAAGCCCTCGTCTGCAAAAGTCAGGCTAATCATTGCACTTAGTCTGCAATTCAACGCCTCATTAAATGAAGTGCTCATATTTCAGTGCTACGTCTAAATTCTCTTATTATTTCAGCCATTCCTAAGGTGGTTATTGACCCCCCGAGACCAGGCAAACTGCCTCCAAATCATCACAATCATATTCCCAACATGGATCAGAAGAGGACCACCACCACCATCCACCCGCCAGTGACTCAAAGGAGAATCATCCACATTATTCCCAAATCAACAGCCGCCACCACAACAACAACCAAAGCACCACTGCCTCCAAAGAGGGTCACCCCACATCTACGCAAGCCGACAGTTCCCACCCGGAAGCCCTTTGTCCCAACCAGGAAACCAGTGGCACCCACACGCAAGCCCTTCATCCCACAAAGGCCAGTGACTCCCACCAGACTCCCAACACCGCCACCGGTCACACCAGTAGACAACACCATTCAGAAGGAGGTCAACAAACAGAGAGGGGATGTCCACAGTAAGCTTTTTTATTTTTTATTCTATTTTTACACAGCTGATTTTCATTCCTGCAAGTTTTTTAATACCTTTTACACCTTTTTAAAAACATGCACAAGTTCCTGACCATCTAAATCTAAGGCTTATTTACAACTTTACATACTTGAAGGGTGTAATTTATAGATGGGAAATCTTTTTTTAAATACTCTTTACAAATATTAATAATGTAAGCAAGCCTTTTATGCTGCATTAATTCATTTTTGGCCACTTCCAGGCACTGCATAAACACAACATTGGCATATTATCACCCCCCATGAAGTTGTTATGGTTAACCTGTTAGCAAACAGTTGCCTGTTACACATCCATTTATTTGGAGTCGTGTTTTTGGTCACCTGACAGAAAAAATATCCTGTATTCACTCTTTTTTGACTCTGTTTGGGTCTCTACCAACTCCTGAGGGAGATATCTGGCTATATAGCTGCTAAATGTTCACAAGCTAGTCAAACCAGCGAGAGTGAACCAAAATAGGAAAGTTGTGTGGCATAAAACCGAGACAATGAGCGGAAAGACACTATCATGCTTCTAGCTACCGGACACTGAGGGCCAGAAATACACATTGCTCATATAAAATATTAGAGCAGCTTAGAAAACATAATAACTCATGGCATTAGGAGGTTCTAATCCCTGTGTTTTGAAGTTTGATAGTGAGGTGAACCTTTTTAACTTTTGGGTCACAGAATTTGGCACTGATTTGTCTAACGATTCATCCTCATCAGCTCCCTGACAGGCTTCCCCTAACCAAATTGGAGCAAATTTGCATATATCTTCTTCATCTGAATCCTGAAATATTGTGTTTGTTATGAAACATGTCACAGTCTGGGGATTCAGAAGTAATGTTTACCTGACAGATGATGTGCGTTATCATATTAAGTTTGTTTCAAACACATGAATATGTGAATGTAACGTATCTGAGCAGTTGACAGCCCGTTCCCATGGGTACACAGTTTATCTGCCAGCTAACCACAAGACAGATTTAAAAGTTATCATTTGGCAAGACGTTTTAAGATTGTTTTCACTGTAAACTGGGGAAAATGGTTGAACCCAAAGGTCACTATTGATAACAGATTCAACATTTGACAATGGGAGTGGTGTGGATTAATGTGTACAAGTAGTTTTCTCACTGTAATACTTCACCCTCTCAGATACAGTATGAGCATTCAAGGTGATAAATATGTAAATCAAGCTATATCCACCTTTACCCACCTTCCTGTATGAAACATAGATTGAGAATAAATAATGCTCCTTTTTATGTTGACAAATTACAAATTAGTCACACTAATTGCATTATGGTGCTAAAGTGTTAAAGTAAGAATAATGTCCTCAAGTTAATTCTTTTTTTTGGGATTCAGTTAATCAAACACAAACTGCTCTGCAGACTGTTGTTTGTCCACGTCACACCGGCTCTCTACCAAGCCTGCATCTTTAACACCAATTACATTCAAAATGCACCATCACTTGTTTGAGATTGATGTTCTTGATCAAAACCAAACAATAGAATTTAATAAAAAATACTGTAGCAATCTTTTTGCTTTAACAAAGGAGGTAGGTAAAAGAGGTAGGCGAAGGTAAGCACTAAAATAATCTGCTGCTTTTTTCTCACAGTGTTAAATGCATTAACCTTTTCGTGACGTTGAATTGTTTCTTAATGAGATAATCCCTGTGACATGTGACTTGTTAAGCCTGAAATATTCTGTTCTGGGCCAAAGCCACTTGATCTAATATTAATATAGATGATTTGTCTGCAACCAAAAACTTTTTATTACGTTATTTAATGGTACAATGTGTAATTCCTTTCCACATGCTCTGAACAAATAGGGGGCAGCATTTCAACTTGTGCAAGAATTGCATGATTTACTAATTGCAGTGATGACACAAGGTTGTGTACAGTTAGACATGCATAATAAAAATTGCAGTGTCCACAAACATTTATAGTGACCTTTGGGGCTAGCTGGTTAGCATGATCATTTCAGTATATATCTCTGCAACGCAATACGTAGATGTCTTTCACATAATGTCAGAATAATGTCTGTTACTTCTTCACATTCTGTTGATAATGTTAGTTGATTTTTGAATGTTTTAGACTAAACAAATGGCCATATCTTACACATTAATAAAACACATTAATACCAAAACATTCTGCAGGGCTACACACCGCAATGGTTGTGTGATGACCAACAGTATAAACTTTAATAAAAATTCAAAACACAAAAAATTAATTTAAGCCTTATGGCTTCGGCACCTCTCAAGTGCGCTCCGTCACTGCACTGCCCTTCTACACAAATAAAAAGATTTCATCCACCCTAATAGGGTAAGTCTAATGGATTTATGGATATGTGCTTATTTATGGATAAGCACTGCTTATTACTATATGATTATGAGAAGTAGGTTCAGAGTTTTTTAATTCACCATTAAAACTCAAAAGTAACTTGTCATAATCATGAAATAATAAGGGATTTCTTAGTATCTACTTAGTATGACATATCACTTTACATGAAGGGGCATGGAAAGAGTAACTAATGATTAGGTAATTAGTCATTAATAGTTTTGTGCCTTAGCAGCTATAGTTCAGAGTTAATCAGGAACTACTCATGGAGAAAGTGTTAGTATGTCAATTCAGATATTTATGAAGTAATCATTAACTGATGATTCATTAATTATTATCTCCCAGTCAGTTCTCTAGTAAATCATCATTATCTATAGATCTCCGTTCGTAGTTATCCACTAACTACTTCAATAAGAAGTGAATTAATTATAAGGTTGTTCCTCATTTGTTCCGCACAGATTCTTGAGTTCCTGACTACTCGCAGTTTTGTGTGTTGTGTAAATTTTTACCGAAGTATGTCCCTGCAAATTATTTGCCGTCACGTTCACCTGTAGGCACAGCAAAAATCTGTATTTACCAAACCTAACATTCAGCTCCTTTGGCAGAAATATCTAGTGAGATGCAACAGCAAAGTAAGGGAAAGTGCTCACCTTGCCAGATGGCATCACATAATTAGAAAAAGGAAAAAGGGAAGAGAAGATTACATTAACACCTGTCTGCACTGCTTGAGGGAGACATCAATCTACTAGTTTCCACTACAGCAGAGCAGTTCTAGAAATCAGAGCTTAGTTTCAATAAGATGAGAGAGGGAGGGAGCAGAGAGAGCGCTGAGTGATTATTCAAATAATTAGACGGAAATAGGAATCATTTGAATAAGGGCCTCGTGGCATGAACAACACCTCAGCTGTACTTCAGGTGCAGGTGTGTTTTGTAGTCAGAGTAATTTTCAGAGCTGTGTACTTTCCTTTCAGTCTGGATCTGTACAATCAACAGTAGTGTCCTGTATCTCCAACCTTTTCTTACTTTCAGTTCAGGAATAGTTAGACATATTGTTCAGTGTTGTGGGAAGTCCACTAATTCAATTTTTGCCAAGAATAAGATGATAAGATTGATACCACTCCTGTGTCTGTGCATCAACTGTGGAGATGATTGGTTTAGCCTAGCATAAAGTAGCAGGGAAACACAAAACAATATGCACACCATTTGTCATTTCACATTCTGTAACTATATATTGGCAACCCATCTCTTTTGTACAAAGTGCCATCTGTTGTACGATGAGAAGAGCCTCAAGCCTATTAGGCTAATCAAACTCTTAGTTTGGTTTAAGCTTAAAACAAGGCTGTTTTCCTAAGCTACATATAAGTTGGCATTGGAGATTCATGTCAACCAAGGTAAAGTACTTATTAGTAGTAGCTAGTGTTGTAGTCAAGGCCGCCCAAACCGAGACCAAGTCAAGACCGAGACCAGAGTTTATCGAGACGGAGACAAGACCAAGACTCTTAGGGGCTGAGACCAAGTTGAGACCAAGACCGAGGGAGGTCCAAATTCCCATTAAAACACCCACATACAAGCTTAAATCAACTAAGCAGACAGACAGTCGTTAACGGTAACAACACATTTTAATTAGGGTTATTGGGTACATTTGAAGCAGTACATTTTACATCCAATCAAAGTTAGGATGCTAACAAATAAATCAAACAATGCAAAAGCAATTTATAGATATTCCCAAAATTATGGTCTTGAATGTTCTTGAAATAAAATCCAGAGTCCTCCATGTCTGAGACCCGAGACAAGACCGAGTACAAATGCAGTCGAGTCTGAGACAAGACCAAGGCCCCATCCACACTACTGCATTTTCGAATTAAAATGGAGACCTTTTGCTACGTTTGCACCACCTGTCCAGACTACAGCGATGAAGACGAAGACCTAAAACGGAGAAGTTTAGAAACGCTGCTGACCCCGTTTTGCATTTCAAAACTCCAGAGGGCGTTTTAGTGAAGACGGCCCAAAACGGAGGACTTTAGAAACGATGAGGCAGCCGCTCAGTTCACGCTCGGCTCTCTGATTGGGTCTTAGAAGTCATGCAAAGCAGAAACACGATGCTACTGACCAGGTTTTTGACATGGTATCTTTATTAAAATATTATGTACCATGCAAATAACACTTATCTGCCTACAATTGTGCTGTGCATGTCGCCGTATTTACTTTGCAACGACTGTTTTCTGCCGCCACGTTCCTTTGTTGCATTCAGTAACAGTCCCAGCTCCTTATATGCGCATTCAAAAAAAAACCTTCTTCGTCTGTATTTATTTTTTCTTTCGGCAAATCTTCTTTAACCAGGAAGAGATCTGGTTCATGTTTACACTGGCACACGCATGCCCAGTGTACCTGAACGGCCAAGAGATCAACTCCAAAACGCAGCTAATACGCTGGTGTGGACGGAGATCGTATTTGTTTTGATTCTCCATTTGTAAACTAAAACGGAGTAGTGTGGATGGGGCCCAAGACCATCAAAAAGTGGTACGACTACACTAGTGGTAGCAGTAAGTAGTTTGTTACATTGCATCTGAAAATTCTATAAAAAGTAGAAGTTAGCTGTAATAGTTAGCAGTTTTGATAGTTAGCTGTTTTCAAACCTAAAAAAAGTCAAGGACTGGCTATTGCTCAACATTTTGGCAGAACACATGACATCCTTATTGTGCAGCTTTTACTGACTTCCCAAGTGAAATGAACCACACAAAGTCAAGAGGTAAAATAACAAGGGTGGCATTTTAATCGGAGGTGTTTCAACATACTTGTTAAACAAATTAGTATTTTCCAGTGATAGAGTTACATTTTTATGTATTACGGTTTTGAGATATCCAAGCTTTCTTCCCACACAATGGAGGTTAATGAAATTTTGTTTGTGGTGCTCAAAGCTTTAAATCAATATATTGAAGTAATTTGTCTTTGCAGAAACTGTTTCCCAGGTACTCTGGATAATTCACTGACCTTGCTGTGAAAAGCTTTCATTTGAGCTTTCTACTGAAGAAAAAGTGATATGAAAACTGTTGACTGTGTGGATCAAACAAAGTAACCAGGAAATTGTTTCTGGAAAACACATGACTGTGGATTTTTTCAAATCTACATTCCCAATGAAATTGCATTCATCTCCATTGAATTAGAAATCTTTTTTTGTAATTAAGTGTACCTTTATATACAGTCAATGTGACATACAATACCTACAGAGAATTATCACCCAACTGAGGATAATAATATTTTTTGTTGTTTTTTTACATGTTTTTTTACTTTAGTTAAACCTACCCTTCAACATACAAAATGGAAGCAGAAACTATAAAACAAATATAACACATCAAACTACAGTTTCTGTGCCAGAATATGACTAATAATACCATGTTCCTGTCCCTCCAAGATAGGATAGTCAAACACATTTTGTTACTAGTAGTCACAATTTCACTGTTCAAATTACTGCTCCCTTAATTGGAGTATCACCATATGTATTCTTTATATATCCGCTCTACAACCAGAAACAAAAAATCGAGAGGGGCTTCGTTCCTTCAAAGCACAGACACACACACAAACACAGACACACACAGAGAGACCTACATGCCTGGGATTGCTGGAGAGCCTGGTGTGAGTGTGACCTTCCGCTCTCAGATTCCTTCGACTGTCTGACTACATCGCAGTCAGCCAGTTGGTTGTGACCCTGCATGGGCCCTTTCAGTGCTCAGGCTGCCTGGAGGGGGCACATGTTGGGGACGTTGGGGGACTGACGGTTCAAATGCAGGTTACAGTGCATTCATGGGATGCTGGGAATAGTTTTGTTGATTTGTCTCATCAAATTCCACTGACTTGTCAAATCAAGTCAATTTTATTTATATAGCCCAATATCACTAATTACAAATTTGCCATAAGAAGCCTTACAATCTGTAAAACATACAACCCCCCTCTATTCTTAGATACTCAATTCACTCAAGGGGAAAAATCTTGTCTTATCTGCAAATGCAATAGTAATACACACTAAAATTAAGATACTTATCCGTATTTAAATTTTTAAAAAATGCTTTTATTCAAGACCTCTTCACAAAGCGTTTTTTTAACCAGTAAAGACAGTTGTTATTCTAATAGACTGAAAGGACCAAAGCATCTTCCGCTACGAAAGGCTTGTCACTGTAAAAATGAGAGAAGCAACTTTCTATGCTTCACTTGTCAATTGACCTTTAATATGACAGCTTGGCTTATTGTATTTCGTGCAATGTGACCCCACTGGAGCAGGAAAGAGACTATTTCAGGACTGGCCATGTACTGTATGTGTGTGTGTGTGTGTATGTACTGTAGCTCCAGGTTGTGTAGCTGCAACATTTGACCAGATATTGCATGAGATGAACCATTGTCCTTTTCCTTGTTATGATTCACATTTGACTTCTGGTGTTCCTGCAGGTATTCTGGTCTCGGTGGCCTTCAGTGCAGCGTTGTTAAATGTTCTTGGCTCTGGATGTACCGGCACTAAACCATGACATTGATTCATCCTTGTAGAGTCCTCGTAGCGTAATGAAATAAAGCCACACAATAGCCACAAGCAGGGATGCCAGTGAGCAAATATAATACCTTTGTTGATCCTTTATCTAAACCGGCATCTCTCACCTTTTTTCTCAGTCCCTCGGAACCACGACCATAACACTGTCCTCGGCATCGACTTTGACATTGAGCTCGGCAACACGGCAGATGAAGCCAAGGACGACCCAGGTAAACACAACCCATATGACAGAGACAATCAACAGCAGGCCTGCTCATAGCAGACTGCAGAGCTCAAATGATGACGGATGAGCCACATTTGCCATGGGCAAAATGAAACTGACAATCAACTCCTGCAATGGTGCTGCCAAGGCGAAGATATTATAGTGACCAGATGTGTTTTGATAGGCCATTCACCAGGAGGTGACACGTGACATCTGGACGTATCCTTTTAAATAATGGCTCCCAGACCTGAACGTACAGTACTGCCAGATTTTTCTACTTTTCACATTATGCTTGCTTGATTGCTTGACTGGTTAAATGATTAATTGATCATTTGGAAGTACATCAGTGCTCTGATCTTAAGCTCCATAGCGCTCGATGTAGACTTCCTACGTCAACAAAATGTTCTCTCTTTTGTGAAGAGACAGCATTTGATCTGTCATATTTGCTCGCTGTGATTTATTGATGTCAATGGTATGCAGATTAAAGTGTAAAACTAAATGATTTAGTTACGTGTTTATTTTGTTTTACAATGCGTCATTTGCTGTGCAGTGTTAGGAAAGAAAGCATTTTCATTGGCTCAGAAAATTAACTGAAAAGTGTTTTGCAGAAACCCTATTTTGGGGACATAATGATGGATGCTATTCTTATCTTCGAACTAATTTATACAGCAATGCATGGATGGTACCACAACTGTTTTGCCTGCATTCCCTTAATGTCTAGGCATCATCGCTAGGAACCAAATCATCAGTCATTGAATATTATGACTGTTGTAACTATAATGTATTTTATTATGGTGTAGTGTGTGCATACAATAGGCTATATGTGTAAAAGTACACTCTGTCACTCACGCACACTGATATCAGCAATTCCAGCAACTCATACAAACATTTGTGATTTTTTAGACAAATGCATTTCCACTTTCCAATTGCGATTTAAGCTGCTCCTTTGCCACTTGATTTTTCCTCACTGCATCAACTCTCTTCAGAGATTACAACATAACAACAAATATTTACACTTTTATTGTATCATCATGCTCATCAGAAGGAGCTTCAACAGCCCTCTTGCTGCCTGTAATGTTAGAGGCACACAGAAGGGCTCATGTGAAGCATTACAGAGAGCAGACTGAAGCCTTTCTCCATGTGTGTGTGCCCTCCACTTCTCTGAAAAGTGTGTTTTATTCTCTTCAGAGTCGGGGTATCTGAGCTGCTCCTTTGATGATGGTCTTTGTGGTTGGATCAGCGACAAAGACGGAGACCTGCACTGGGAGACGACGCCTGATCCGTCAGGTAGTTGAAGTGCAGGGGTCAACTGTTTTCACTCACATACTCTAATAAGGAAAACTGTTTATTTTATTGCCTGTCAGTGGAAATAAGAGTAGCTTAGTGCCTTTACTGACACATACACACACACACACACACACACACACACACCATATGCAAATCCCACAGAGTCAGACAATATACAGTCAGTTTTGTTCTACTCAATTACAGGTCAAGAAGAAAATAACTTGCGGGTAGTAGTTTGTTTTTTCTGCAGATTAGTGCTTTGTTCTACAAAGCGATGCAAATGATAAGTGGATTACACGACCTGTCAGTGAAACCTGTGGCTCACATTAAATGGGAACATAACACTGTTTTTCTTGGGGTTCAGACGTGGAGAAAATGTGATGAATTATGGTGAGAGGACTCGGTACATGGGGTGTGAAGACTAAACATTGCGGCATACTGGCGCTGTTTAAGCAACACTAACTGCATGTGGCTTCCTCTGCCAACTGGCTTAGTCCTGAGGTTACTAGTGTGTTTCCAGACATTCAGACAGAGGTCTCATTTCAGCCAGGTTTGTGCTCACTCATTAGAGAAAATAAAGATTTTTGCCCAGACCTTTAAATGATTTACAGAAAATCATAAGCTAAACCATGACTAAGTATAATTTCATTTAAGAGGCTACATTTAAATTTTCAGTAGCCTGTGGTGAATATATTTAAACAGAACATTTGAATAATCATTTATGGATACGTGCGTGCACACCTATACACAGCTTTTGCTACATCTTCAGTGTGTCAGTCTGCAGCATGGAACTATTTACTGTTCATCACTTTAAGTTCTTTTGATAGACAGCCACTGGCAAACCCTCATGGCTGTTAGAGGATTGGCACAGATTTGGAGGGAGCTCATAACTTATGCAAAAAGCCTCTATAGATACACATTGCTCCCCCAGTGGTTAACACCAGCCCTACACAGATCTGCTAGATAAGCAAAATACATCAGCATTAAATCAGCTATTACCCAGAAGCACTTCCATCTTTAAATTTTTTAAAACTGTATAGCTCTACTATTACTAACTATTGCATGAATTAATAAAAAATCTATTTGCCACTGGCAACTGGCTATATTTTCAGGTGAAGAAACATAAATGGGGCATGTCTTTTTTCAGTTCTCTATTTCTTCCGTTTCTCTTCTACAGATTCTACACTTGACCGTCTTGGATGAAATACTGTTGTGTGTGCTGTGAAAAATAGACAGACAGACAGACTTACCTACATGTTAAAGGGTCAGTTCACTCAAATTACAAAAAACAAACAAACATATATTCTTACTTATATTGCAATAATAGGCCATGCTTTGTGTTTAGGTTTGGTTGTTGGTTGTGCTGCAGCCCAAATATAATGAGGTGGATGGCTGAATTTTGTTGCTCAAAGCATTCAAAAATTGCATTCACGAGTTTGCAGAACATTCGGAAAAAACACAACAGCAACTGTTTTCCCCCTGAAACAATGTTCCACTGATTCAGGACAACTCACAGACCTTGTTGTCAACAGTCTGCATGGGGACTGTTGGGACTGTTTCTGAAGTAGAAAGTACTTCCACTGAAAAACTGTTTACAGTGAGGTCTGTCAATTAGCCGAAGTAAACGGGGATATTGTTTCTTGAAATTTAAGTTTTGGTTTTTTTTTTGCCACTTTCTACTTTAGACACAGAAAGCATAGCAAATAGAACCAAAAGTCTTGATACTACTGGGTAAGTGAGAAAATATGTTGTTGTTTTTGTTTGTTTGAGTGAACTGATCCATTTAGTTTGGTCTACTTCAGTTCATACTGTTTCAAATCAGTTTAGGTCAACTTTGTTTGGTTCAGTTTAAGCCAATTGAAACGAATTTACAGATTTACAGTCCATGAAGAATAATTATATATGTGAATCATGCACATTGTAACACATTGACGACGTGTTATCAATCAACACAATTCAGAGTTTCCCATTTTAACAGAAATGTGCATTTAGTTTATTTTCTTTAATTAACTATAACATAATTTGCCTCCCCAGGTGGTCGGTACCTCACCATTCCCGAGGTAGGCAACAAGAGGACTGGGCGAGGGGCCAGACTGGTTCTCCCACTTTACCCCTCCCTGGAACGACGGCAATCTGTGCTTGTCGTTCCGGCACAAGCTGGCTGGCCACCATGTGGGCATGCTACAAGTGTTTGTGAAGAAGGGAAAGCAGTACAGCCCAGCAGTCTGGGGCCGGACAGGTGGAAATGGCTGGAGGCACACCCAAATCACATTATGGGGCACAGGCCTGGAAAGTGTAAGTAAAACAATAAGTTCATTCCTACAGTGAGAATTTTTAAAATATTATTTCTACTGACATTATTGACAGTAGTGAGGAGAAATGTTTGAATTCCTGTTAAGAAAAAGTAGATCTCTGCGTTTCAGAGTGGCTCAGTAAAATTTAAGAATGAGTAGAAATGTAGTGAGCCCTCTTTCATCGTAAAGCATGAAGATTATTCCTCAATTTGTATGTTGCTGCTTTTCACAAGGTGATCCTGAAGGGGGAGCGCGGGCGAGGCAGGAGTGGCGAGATGGCTGTGGACGACATCACCCTGAGGAAAGGCTCCTGTACAGAGGAGCACAATCTGAGGAGACTCTGACTGACAGAACAGAGAAAGGCAGAAAGAAAACAAGAGGGAAAATCATCTCAAAGAGAACTGACTCTGTTGTGACAACCCCTCAGTCTGCCTGGGCTCTCGCTAATACCCCCCACCCCAACCCTCCCAGCCATCCTGTAAACGATATCTGAAATATTGTGCATCAGTACAGAACATTGGGTTTCTCTTTCTCGACTGTCCATGAATAAAAAAAAACTGAATGGAATATCATGGGCAGATCACAGCAGCATATCCCCGTCCTCTCGGCCTCCCACTCACTCCATCACCTTGTTACTCTGAAACCTGCATGTACCTACTTACCATGGAAATGTCCTCTACCTAACACAGCCCTGGCAGCCTTCCAGCCACACTGCTGAGAGGCTCACATTCACTTCATTTCTTCCTGGAGAGAGGATCCTTCCCTCACTTAGAGGTCTGCTTTTGCCTTGCTTTGATCCTTTAACCACAAGCCATTGCTTTTTATTTGCTTGATGTTAAAAGATGTGGCCAGAGGTGCATTTTGTGACTGTTTTGATCAGCAAAATATCAGAGATGGTAGACATTTATTTGAGGGTATGTAAGTAAGTATGAACAGACAAATTGTATTTGTCATCATTTCTTTCTAATCCCGACAACTCCAATTTGGATATAGACCCAAATTATAAAACCAACTACACTCAGTTTAGCCCTATTTTTGTTGGTCTAATCTGAGTTTTTGGTATTGTAACTCGTCTATAGCACAGTTCTGGCTGAAACTGTGCAGCTTTTCTTTGTTGTCACAGTATTTCAAAAATTTGTTTGGTAGAAGGGGGTTTAATAATTTAGCGCCTTTTCTACCCTGATCTTTATTGAAGCCTCCGAAAGTTGTTTAAAACCCTCCATGGTCATGTTTTTCAGATACTTGAAATGTGTCAAACAGAATCAACGTACGATTCTGGACACTTGCAAATCAGCAGTTACTTTCTATTATACAGTATGTGCTTTGTTATATTAAGTGCAGTTTGTTATAAAGATGATACCAACAAGTTTTTAGGCTTTCAGAAATTGTATTATTGTAAATGTAGTTGTGTGTACATTCTCTAAAGATCTACAGTCCCATTTGTTGCGTGGTTTATACGTTCTGTAATTTCATACATGAGTATTAATTGGATTTCAAAATGGTAGGTATTTCAACATTTAATTAAAGAACATGTATACAGATGGAAACCTTGTGTAGTGCGAGGCTGTGTTTCAAGTGCACAAAATGTGTATGTTCATGTGTTATGGTATAATGCTCTATCTGTAACTTGCAAAGCACATAGTTGCATATTGTATGCTGTGATAATGAAGGGCATCGGCTGGAATTTTAAGGTTTTCTGTATGCATGGGTGCATTCACCGAATTCAGATTTATCCAGACCAGTATGTAAATAAAATACATTTGACTGATATATGTTGAAACAAAGCATGATTTATTTCTCACCTTACAGTAGAGACTGACAGCAACACCATGTTTAAGGTATGTATCCTGCTGAGTTTTTGACTACTAGTGGTGACGTCAAGCTATGTTTGATTAGCAGGTCCCCATATTGTTCGCATTGCACTGTTTGTGTTAAAGCAAAATTGCACCATAAGAGCACAGGCATATCAACAGCAGGTGATGCTGTAAAATGTGGCAATCCATTTGATGTTACAGGAACAATGCAGGTTTAATTATGTTAAAACCTCAGTAAGTTTCTGAAAAGGTGGGCAATGCATTCATCATGTTTGTTAAACTCCGTGGTTGCACTCAATGTATTTTGCTGAGAAACAAACAACGGAAAAGTATGCCTTTAATATAATGATGGCCCAGAACTTCAAACTGCTTTCTCTATGCTGGGGCTGGGTAAAATGATAAAAGTATCAAATCACTATATTTCTCTTATTTATGTCAGTATTATGGACGTTTCATAACAAAATCCTGCTGCATCCCAACTAGTAAGTTCACAAACTTTCTTCTCTAATCATTTTCTTTACTTTTTACAGGCCACTCTGAAACAGTATAAATTATTATTACAAGATAATTCTGTATATTAACTAATAATTAATCAGTCACTATTGACTTTTTGCCCCTAACAATGCTGAAGATTTGCACACTGCACTAATAGCTCCCAGTAGATTTCAACATTTCAATGTAATAAAAGTTTATTCAAGGCAGGGAATATGTATGCAACAATTGTTAAATGTTATGTAAATTAAAAGATGAAGGACATCTAAATTATTTTGTGGGAAATTAAATGTGAAAAAAGTTCAGGAAGAGCACAGTAGTTTTCACAGAACATAACAAAATGTTCCAAACACAAGGAAGAAAGAAAGACAGGTTCTTAGCAGGCACAACTTGATGATGGAGCGCAAACCACTTCTAGTCTACAGGTAAAAGGCAGAAGGACACACGCTTTGATTTAATATTTCAATATTCCTCACAGACACAAACGTATTCAAAAATATGTTCTCTTTATTTATACCATGGCCATGGAACGTACTTGTGTCTGAAGGCTGGCAGGTGTGCGATAAAACTAAACAACAAGCTTGAAAAATAGATTCAGTCATTAATTCGACCACCGCCGACCACATGTGAAGTGCAAAATATATTGAACTTGGAGCAACCACAACACATATCCTTCACACTACATTACTAGTCAACTCTCTTTAACCTAACTGTATCAAACTGACAGCCTCCATGATATTTCTCTTTTCCATGGTGGCCATGGTATAGTACAAGCACAATAAAGTGTGCTTCACCTTTACTTTGCCTTTCTTCTTCAGGATATCACATAAGTGGAAACATTTAAGTCAGTGGATGTGCTCACAGCACTGAATTAAACCTGCATAAAGTTTTCACAAGTTCAGATTGGTGAACTTGTGAATTCATGCTGCTGGCCAATAGGAAATAGTTTGATGACCTCTAAAGGGAAGGTTATCATGGATAGCGTCTCTCTCTCTCTCTTCTCTCTTTCGCTCTCTCTCACTTTCTCTCTTTAACTCACATACACAAATGCACAGCAAAGAGAAAATGAATCATATTTCTGTTTTTTTCAAACAAGGTCTGCAATTTTGATATTAGATTTGTCTCCGAACGGATGATTCTTCAAAGTCCTGTCACTGACCTGTAATGAAATACCATTAAAAAAAAAAAGAAAATCTTCCTTTTCCCTCCAGGCAGGTTATTTGGGACAAAAAGGGCAAGCAAACAATCCCTTTATTGAGATAAACCATCATCACTAGTGGGATGTGTGCTTGTGTTTTTCTCCCTGTCTCTAGGAGGGTAGCAAAGTCAGACAATTTCTCTCTTTGCTCACAAACACGCACACAGAAGGTGGCAGAAAATATAAAAACAGAAGGAAATATCAAACACCTTTCCAGTTCATATACTGTAGAATATAGCATGAAGCCTCTGGCAGAAGGACGGCAAGAGACCTTTCCAGACTCTGCTCCATGGAAATAAGAAATCTATCAGTGCTAATGGGACATTGATGAACGTCGTAAGAGGAGATAACTGATTAAGTTAAATATGAGGGAATGTTCACAGAGCTAGAATAGTAGTGATGTCCATAATGCGTATTAAAAGGGCAAACAAGGACAGGCAAAGGTTACTGTTAAACCTCAAGTAGTTGGACAGCCAAAGAGTGGAGCTTTACCAAATTGCAACTGGACCTACAATATTACAATATTACCTCATTATTGTAAGTGCTCAGTTCTTCATCACATAGAGATGTGAAGGACATTCAGCCACAGTTTTTTTTTCTTGCCTGTTGAGTGCCAATTTTCTGACCTGACTGTTTTTTACTGCAGTATTTGAAGAAAAGTATGGTCCCACCTAGCTACCTATATCCAGCTCCTTTTGTAGATATTAAAGGGATAGTAAGTGATGATAATCCAATTTATTTTTTGTCATATTCAGCAGTGGGAGAGAGAGTTCTATACACTGGCACATTCAAATGTGCTGGACTCCACGCACAGTGTAGACGGACAGATGGCCGAGAAACAGCCAAAGAGGAAAAGGTCTGAAGAGTATAAACTGTTAAGAGTTGACCAGGCCCGGGAGAAGAAGAATGTCAGAGATTTGAATTTTGTCTGGCAGAGCTTCTGAGGGAGCCCTGAAGGGAGGGGTGTATTTCTTTGGCAGTTCAAATATCAACCGTCGTTCTGCAGAATCACTTACATAATTACTCACTTTAATTTTGTCATGTCAATTGGCACTTTTCCATTACCAGTACCAGCTCAACTTGCCTCGACTCGACTCAGTTTAGGCCTGCTGCGAGTAAAGGAGATGTGAGTTGAGCTGGTACCATGCAGGGGAAAAGGGGCTATAGTGTTTGTCAGCAAATTAACTGATGAATCAAGTGAGTGATCAAAAGATGAATGTGTCCATTAACAGAGTTATCACTATTGTCTGTTTTCTTCTAATAATGCTGAAGTCAGACAAAAGATTTGCACACTGCACTAATAACTACCAGTAGATTTCAATATTTCGATCTAACAGAGGTCTTTGTCAGGCACTATCAGTAAACTGTTGTGCGGACAAAGAGGTCTTCCAGATCAGGCTGACTCTACAGAGAAGCTGTCAGAGCTGATGACCACTGGTGGAGAGGATGAGGAAATTAATGGGGGATAAAGTTGGAAGATGAAAGATACCACTTTGAGGAACTTGTTAAACATGCCCTCTGGATAGAGTCAGCGCTGGAAGAGTCAGGGTTCTCGTTGGCAGAGGTCAAAGTCTGAAAGATCCTCTGTGGTACTGTGCCGTAGGTGAATTAGATTGTATGTGAAATTGCTGAAGGTTCTGTATATCACTGAGCTACCATTGTTGCCACGGTTACACTCTGCTCCATCTACACTAGGTCACTAGGACACTAAGCAGTTATTTTAGATGAGGGCGTTCATTTATTAAATCAGGGTTTAAGGTAAACAAATTTGTGCATAGGCTGTGCTGCATGAGTTGTTTCAGACCATGGTCACATGCTGTGTGTAGTAACCGCAAGATTTCACAAGTGCTAATGCTATTATGTATTGCTAGCCTTGATTGCACCAGCTGATTGGGTAAAAACTTTAGCAATCCAACAGACATTAACAGTAAGGTAAATCTGACCAACCAAATGGAGGGAAACCAGGTTAAGTAAAGACATTAGATG